CTGGCCCATAATTATGTTCCAATGTACATGTATGAAGTAAGGCTATCCTTGCAAGAGTATCCTCTCATATGTAGCTGGCCATTTTCATGCTCATTGTAATAACAAAACTAAACTAACTTACCGCCAATATCAATTAGCAATTATTGCTATTTTTGCTTATAAAAAAGAGAAGAATAAATTTATTCATTTTATTGAAAAATAAATAAAATAATAACTTTCTTGAAAACATGTGGTAACTATAATATAATAATTTAAGATTGCTGTTTATTTTTATTGACAAGTGATGACAGTCTTCCTTGGTATATCAACCCTTTCTTAGGAGATAGGAGACTGGGGAGAGAAGCTGCCTCCTTTTTTTTCTTCCCTTAGAAAAGTCCACAAACCTCAGTTGAATGGGAATCCCATTTTTTGTAGCATATTCACAGAAATTTGTTAATTAAGTCTTTTAAGTACATATTCATGATTCACTTTTAACCCACTCTATCCTTCAGTGGTTTTCTTGTGTTTTGTACAATTCAAGTGACTCAGTTAGTTCTGTGACTAGTTTGCATATTATGGAAAACTGCAAAATATTTTGTGACAGTTCACCCAGGCCTGTAATACCTGAAGAACCAAGCACTGTAATTCCATTCCTTGTCCAAGAGCTTGACTCTTCCCCGTTTATTCTTGTTGATTTCTCATGCATATTACATAATTGCAGATGTTCAGTTTGCAGCAGAGCATTTTTGAGACCTGATCATCTTGAGTTGCCATCAGATTGTACATAGGTGAAAAGCCATTTCCATGCCCCTGCTGTGGTCATCGGTTTACACAAAAATCTAATGTCAGCGCATGTACATCTCAGAACTGATGCTTGCCGTAAGGCGCCAAACAGGCAGGAGAAGAAAAGGGTATCAAGAAAACAGAAACCAGAAACAGGGATCGAGAAGACATGGAGATTGAAGCTGTTGTAGAGGATGGTAGTGGTTTGACTTTATCTCCCCTCAATGGACAAGAAGTGGAGATTAGTGACTGAAGCTATTGTAGAGTCAATTTAGTGGTGCAGTTGCATGACTTTTCCTTCCTCACTGGTCATAAGGTCACGTGAAAACCTGTTAATGGCTAAAGACTTTTTGCCACTCTGGAGTCTATAACAACTGACATGAAAATGAAAGAAGTAAATAAAGAACAAACCAGTGGGTCCAATTGTTGAACAAATGTGCATTAGGAGGACTGATTTTGTGAAAATGAAAGAGTAGCTTGTTGCAGGCTTTCAGATGAGCTTTGAGTAACATAACAGCTGGGTCTTGCTTTGGTTTTTTGCCCACCTTGAGCAGTGATTCTTAACAGTAACATTTTTGGTGCTGACAAAATGTCAACATTGTGTCAGCTGTGTACTACAAAAAACCCATTGCATTTTGTTGCTACAAATTGAATTTTAGATAAATTAGATAATTTATGATAAATATCATGTTTCTGGCTTTTGGAAATTGCGCTATGTAGTAAACATTGAATACTGGTAATAATGTAGAAGACAAGTTTTGATAAAGGGTAATATGTAAAACAAGCCTTTGTTTAAACAACAATATACACTTAATGTCGGATCCCGAGGGAAACAGTTTTGTTTTTCGTCTCGGGAAACATCAGGACTCGAGGGAAAACAAAACTAACTGGTTTCCCGAGGGACCTGACATTAAGTGTTTTGTTATATTTCTAGACTTTCACTTCAACAGCAACAAAAGAATAACCGGAGCGAACCAAAACAGTCGACTCGGTACTCATAACAACACAAATTTAATTCTCAAAACCACTGAATGAATGATTTACAAACAAAAGTACTTTCCTCATATTATCTGCATCTTTTTCCTCCACTAGCTGCTGTTTTTCTTCTGGGAACTTCTGGGATAACTTTAAAAATCGTTGCTTTTTAGCTTGAGGCTTCGTTTTTGTGTTGTTGTGTTCATTCACGAAAAAGAAAACTGGCTGGACCTGGCGGTGTTTTTCCCGCCTTCTGTCACACCACTTTCCACCATGCTTTGATCACGTGCTGCAATGTATCCCGAGCGGGATACATTGATTAATGTATCACGATCGGGATACATTTGATTTTAGTCAAGGCCACGTGACCAAGAATCAACCAATGGCAGTCCCTGTTTAGTTGAGTGAAAGTCTAGGAATATAACAATGTTGCTTGTTTATTTGTCACATTTAAACAACTAGATTTGTATGTTTTACATGTACTTGCCATTAAAATAGTTCATTGTGTATTTTTTGGCTATGTTAGTTCTCTTTTTCAAGGATAGCATCATTACCAATACCCATATTAGTTTATTTTTGTTCTCAGAAGCAGTGTTAAAACTGTATAATTTTGAAGAAACTGCCACCATTTTGTTTTTAAATTCCAGCCCGGTACTCAATTTATTCAAAATAGAGACGGGTGCTGTTATCAGAAGGAGGGGTACTCCCAATGATGGCCTATATGGGGAAGCTCTGCCCAAAAGGGGTACCTTTCTAAGGCTTCAGGTATATTAAAGGGTAGGGATTTCACTAGTTGCAGTATATAAAAGGGTAGATAAATCTATCATTTGGGTCTGTACCTAAGGGCCCACACGGGCTAAAAGATGAATTTTATGGCTTTCAAATGTCGAGAAAATGTCACATTTTTGTGACTGATTCCCATATAAAAGACAGTGCATTTACAGCAGTTAAAAGGGATGCAAAGTTCTGAACAAGGTATAAGAAAGGGGTACCATTTGTCAATAGAAGGTATACAAAAGGGTATATGAAAGGGGTGCCTTTTTTGTGAAAATGGTACTTAAAGGGTATGGAGTTGGACCTCAGGGGATGGACATGGCCTTAAAACTGTGACGTAAGACTAGATGAATGTCGACTAACAACAAAAAGATGGGTTGAAACTGTGACACCTACTAGGACAATGGCAAATGCAATAGTAAAAATTAATACTGACAGGGCTGGCCTACCACTCAACAGGGCTGTCATTAAGAGCTGGCCGGGGGCCAGTGATTTCCACCGGCTATTATGAAAGTGGCCCCCTGCTAGTTGCATAGAAAAATAGAAGAACAATAGAACCAAAAGAAATCCCCAGCTGTTTGATTCCCTGCCTACTTGTTGTATTTACCTGGCAACTTGAAATCTTGGTGACATCCCTTACTCAATATGTGAATAATAATAACTTTATTTATATGGCACTCATACCCTGAGCTCATGGCACTTTACAATGTGAAAAAGGGGAAAAAAATGAAAAAATGTACATATAAGCATGAGATAAAAAATATTAAAAATCTATTTACAATCCATATATTACATGTCTTAAAATCACTTTACAAACACAATGACCCACCCTCTAAAAATTGCCTAAACAGATATGTTTTCAATCCTTTCTTAAAACCAGTTAAAGATGGTGACTTACGCAAATCTAACTATAGTTTCTACTACAAGTGTGTATAGAGTTAGGGTTACAGTAGCCTGATTCTTAGATGCTCATGGCCAAGCGGTTACTCAACAGATTTTGATTGATGAACAGATGATAGTACCCAGGGGGAGAGGGGGGTACTTTAGGAATTTCTGGGTGGGGATGTGATGCTGGGACCCTGGAACCCTTAATCTATACCAGAGCTAGTTCAGCTAAATTTCGCTACCCTATACTAGAGTAAACTCCCCAAATATATGCCCATATATGGCAGTATCCTCCCCAACCCCCTCCCGGGGATAGTACGCTCTTTATCTGAAAGAGCCCGTCCGTTGATTTTATAACTTATTACTGCTAATATATTACTCATTTAACAGAGAGTGTCTTTTTTTGTGGGGGGAAGGCAAGAAAGAACGGCTGTGCTGTAGTGTAAATTAAATTGTTTATAGGTCAACCTCACCCCCCCCCTCCCCCTCTAGCATAAGGAGTTGAATAGCTAGCTTTTACCATAATCTTATGAAAATATCTGAATATTATGACCTTCCCGATTTTGATCCTAATAATTTAAGTGAAGCTAAGATCAAACACTATATAGATATAATAAAACAAAAATTTATTACATATTGGTAACATACAATCCATCATTCTAAGAAACTACAGTTTTATAGCTTATTTAAACATGATTATAAAATTTCAAGTTATCTAGACTCTAGACTTAATTAGAAATTCATTGCATTGCATTATCATTGTTGTAAATTGTAACTTTATGCTATTAAAGCTTTTGCGATACTGTAACTACATAATTATAGTCATGCAAATAAAGCTTATGTTGTTGTTGACTCAAGCTTAAAAAGAAAAAAGGCTGGCTACGCTACTGTCTACTGTGGCGATCGATGTTTAGTCGGAGCACTTTTCAGTTGAGGGAAAGTTCATTTAATATGACAAGGGGGGGGGGGGATGAAGATATTGAGGGGGGCTCCGAAAATTTTTAGACACCGAAGGGGGCTCTGAAAAAATTGTTGCGCTAGGAGGGGGGGGTCCGAAAATTTGTATACTTCAAAACCAACACATGACATCATCATACAGATCGGATGGTTTTCAACTCAACAATTTAATGACCTGTGCAACTCAGCTATATCACGTGGTTTACAGATATAACAAATGTAGTCTCAGTAATTATTACACTCTTGTTCATCCCAAAAATGCTTTAGAAAATTGTATCACAACCGTATCTCAAGTTTGTCATAGTATAAACCATTGAAGACAATAACGGTAAATATATTTAATATAGTCTAGCGATCTTTTTTCAGGGGAGCAAAGGAATTGAAGGAGGAGGGGGGCTGAAATTTTTTCGACTACCAAGGACGGGGCTCCTAAAAATTTAACCGCTAGCGAGGGGGCTGCTAAAATTTCAAGCTTCGAGTTTCAATATCTTCATCCCCCCATTGTCGTATTAAATGAACTTTCCCTAACCATTCTTCAATACATAGAAGTCATGAATGGAACACGATGCGGACGGGCACGGTGTGAAGTAAGAATTTTGAGTTCCTTTTTTATGACGGTATTTCTGCTGGTAAGAGGATGTTTCCGCTTGGAATGAACGAGATATATTTTGCCGACATTTTTGACATCCTCTGATTACTTCACTGTCAATTCTGCGATTGCTCTTTAATTTACCTTTGATAATAAAATGTTCGTTGCATATATCATACGGTTGCTTTTCCATCACATACTCTAGCACTGCCATATACTCGGGATAAAGTTGATCAACGAACTTTTCTAGTCGCTCAATCCTTTGCTCCAGGAAATGCTGCAGGGTGTCTCTGTCAAGATCCTTGAAATCAACAATTTCACCAAGTGTCTTGAGCTTCAAGTTCTGCAGCAAGTCCTCACAACCTTCAAGCACACTGTTAAGGTTGTACATGGCTGCCATTTTTCGGAGTTTCATCACGTTTTGTTTCAATTTGGGTTGCTTTTCAACAAAACTGACACAAGGTTCAAAGACGTGTTTTATCTCGTATTCGTCGCTTAGCTTAAGGAGATGTTCCACGTTCAACATAGTTATTTCCACTGGTTCTTGTATAACGTGCTTGAAGTAAATAAGTTTTAGGAGATCTAAAACTTCACCGGCTTTCTTGTCAGGCAGTGGAATCTCTTTGGAGGTAGCCTCCTTGAACTGGGATTTGAACATGGCCTTGAACACAGGTGATTTCATGCTCAGTATCAGGCGATGAACATGAAACTTTTCATCCTCCACCACAAGAATCAGGTCACTATCTTCCCAGGGCTCTGAAAATCGATGCTTGACTTTTGTTTGGCCTTCTCCTGCTGAAGGTTCTCTGCTTCCACCCTCACGAGAGATTGTTTCCTCGGGAATGTTGGACGCCATCTTAAGCTTATTATGATTGTCTCAATTTTGATGATCGATTCAATAGATCGTTCCAGATTGGTAATCGATGATGAGCTCTCCTGCAAAAGCAATCCGAATTGCTGATTGGTCGTGGGTAGATGGAACCCTTAGCCGCACCCTCGGAGGTGAAGCATATGTTTTTAAAATTCAAACGCTATAGGTCATTTGTTGCCCAATAAAAGGGCCTCAAAAAATGATGTGAATGTTAGCCAGTCATATTGCAGAATTTGTGAGAGAATGGTAGTTGGTTTCTAGTAACGGTATATAGTTTAAAACTCATGCTAGTGAAGGTAAGACCTTGGGCGCTTTCCATTTAGTCAAAGGGTGCTTACCATTTGACAGAAAAATCCGGTTGGGGTGTCGAAAGCATAATGGTAAGCGATTTACCAGTTTACCGTAGAAATGCCACATCCGCTACCGTTTGAATCCAAAAAAGGGCGAATTTTTGTAGCGTGAGTCTGGAACCGAGAAGGAACCGAGAAATTGGTTAATGGTAAGCACCATTCCGTTTGGTTCGTACCAGCCGGAATGAAAGGACTACCTCAAAACGTACTCCTCAATTTTCGGTTGGAATTTCCGAAAACTGACCTTACCATTTACCTTCCATCTGGAATTTCCGAAATTTTCTGTCAAATGGTAAGCACCCAAAATGTCCGGAATTTCCGGTTCGGCGGTAAATGGAACACGTTTCCTCGGTTCGTCCCACTGGAAAATTCCCAGAAAAAGTGGAAAATCTAAAAAGGTGGTCCCGTTTTCCCGGTTGGAATTTCCGAACGGAATGTCGTGTTCCATTGACGTTTCTTGTAGTTTGTACCAGTTCCAGGTCCACGGTCGGGCACCCGGCCACGTACCGGGGTTTACGACCAAATGGAACAACTTTTTACCGATCGGAAATTCCACTTTTGCTACCACCGAAATTTCCGGGTTTTTTTCGTAAATGGAAAGCGCCCCTTGACAACATTTTGAAACAAGTTCTTTGAAAGAGTTAGATTCTTCTGAACATTACACTAACGGGCAAACAATAATATTCAGGGCTGCGATCTGGCGGAGCCCTGGGGCCCCTGGTGCCTAACTTTTGCCCTCAGGTGACTAGAAAATATCAGATTTTTCATACAAATCATATGCTGGACACCATAGATTTTACAGTTTCAGAGCACCGGGCTCCCTTCATTCCTTAGAGTACAGCCTTGATATTTGTCTCTTGGTCACACTTAGCCCGCAAAATGAAGCCACAGTCACTTCTCTTCACTTGGCAAGTGAAGCAAATGCCAAAAAAGGCATCTGCTGATGCAGGCTTGGGTCACAGTTATCCACCGCATAGCTCAACCCCGTTTTATGGTATGAATCTGCTTACAAGCCCCTCTGTATGGGCTGAGAATAAAATAAGTTATCCCCAGTGTGAATGTACCCCTGATACCTTTTACAATCACAAAGTATTTTAAACGGCTACATCACAAGGATATTGTTGTTTTAGAACAATTCTGTGTTGAAGTTATTACTTTAAAGCCCATACACAAAATACTCCTGAAGACTTATGAAAAAGATACCGAACAAATTTCATTAAGGAGCAGTAACCATAATTTTTTTGGTGCTTTTTGCCGGCATAGGCATTAAAAGTTGATATCAAACGTTGGCCCAACTTTTTCAAGTTTCAACCCATGTCTGAAACAGTTTCAATGCCAAAATATTTTATAGTCTTACATAAAAAAGCTGGACCGTTATTTTTGGAATTTTGAGGCAAAAAAATTAGCTTTTCAAAAAGATAGCAAATAGTGTGATGTAGCCCCTTTAACCACAACTCCTGTTAGGTTGGGTGGTAAGGTATGCGTAAGGCAGCAAAATGCTTGTTAAATTGACTATTTAGTGATTGTTTAGCCTCTCACGCAGGTGTTTTTAGGGGAGCTCGTATTTCGTCCCTCCCCACAAACGCCTGCTCAACCGAGAACAACATTTCTTTCCCATTGTTTTATTTGCGAGGTAGGTGACTAATCAACAGTTTTCAAATAAAGTGTTGACAGGCCAAACAGGACTCATAATTAAGCACGTGATAGTATAAAAACGATTACACGACCACACTCTCTCAAGTTCTTGATCGTCATGCACCTTTAAAAACCAAAACAGTGCGGACTAGGCCCAAGGTACCCTGGTATACCAGTGAGATAGCTGAGGCAAAAAGGCGACGCCGGAAAGCAGAACGGAGATGGAGAAGAACACGATCACAGGAAGATTTGTTGGCATTCAAGAAACTCAAGAACCACGTTACTTATTTAAGTACACGGGCTAAGCGTGCTTTCTACTCAGACTTTGTGAATGACAATAGTGAAGACCAAGGAAAGCTATTCAGGGCCACTCGATCACTGTTACTTCCGAGGAATGAGTTGTGTTTTCCAGAATACACGGACAACTCAATCTTAGCCAACGATATCGGGTGGTTTTTCGACCGTAAGATTGCAAATATTCGGGTAGAGCTTGATGCGTGCACTCTTCATCCTGGGGCGGTGGCTGAGGATAAAGTGTTTAGAGGCGATACGAAACTTGATCATTTCAATACGTACTCTGTGGAAGATATGAGGAAGCTGGTCGGTAGATCATCGAAGAAAAGCTGTCAACTTGATCCTATGCAGACCAATTTAGTAGTCGGCATGTCCGATATGCTTCTCCCCATCATCACTAATGTCGTGAATTCTTCACTTTCCTTGGGACACTTTCCATCTGATTGGAAAACGGCCCTTGTGGATTCAAGACTGAAGAAGACCAAGCAAGGGACTTCCTTATCCAATTTAAGACCTGTGAGTAATCTACAATACCTCTCTAAATTGGTTGAAAGGGCAGTTTATGATCAGACAACCGATCACGTTACTCAGTCGGGCTTGTATCCCATCCTCCAGTCAGCCTATCGACTGGGTCATAGCACAGAGACTGCCCTATTGAAGATACAGAATGACATACTAGCTGCAATGGACAATCAACGAGTTACTCTCTTGGTATTGCCAGACCTGAGTGCAGCATTCGACACGATTGACCACCAAGTGTTGTTGAATCGCCTGTACGTGACGTATGGAATTACGGGTACCGCTCTTAAATGGTTTCACTCGTATTTATCAAACAGGAAACAGCGAATCCTGATTAACGGGAGCTATTCGAGTGACTTTGATCTGCCTCAAGGGGTACCTCAAGGATCATGTCTAGGTCCCTTGCTCTTCACGTTGTACGCAAGTAAGCTCTTCGATGTTGTTGAATCCCATCTCCCTAACGTTCATGCATACGCTGATGATACGCAGCTCTATATCTCATTTAAGCCGGATGGTTCTGCTACTGAGACGGATGCTGTTGACGCTTTACAGGCTTGCATCAGGGACATAAGATCCTGGATGGTCCAAGACAAACTTCGGCTGAACGATGCTAAGACCGAGTCTCTTATTATAGGTACACGCGCACAGTTAAATAAGGTTACGATAAGTGACTTGCAAGTAGGTGAGGTAAAGGTTTCTGCTGTCTACTCTGTTAGAAATCTGGGTGCTTGGTTTGATGCAAACATGAATATGACCACACATATTAACAGCATATGTCAGGATATTTATTACCACCTACATAACATCCGGCGTATTAGAAAGTATTTATCATATGACAATAGGAAGTCCATTGTACAGGCTATTATAATGTCACGATTAGACTATTGTAACGGTCTATTATATGGTACGCCCGCTGTTCATCTTGGTAAGCTGCAACGCCTGCAGAACGCGGCAGCTATATGTACTGTATCTAGGTATGATCCTATCACACCATCCCTGATCAACCTGCACTGGCTTCCGGTTACCCACAGAATAGAATTCAAGATAGCAATGCTAGTTCACAAATGTATCTACGGCGTCGCACCACAATATCTTTTAGACTTGATAAAAATCAAAGAGAGCTCGCGGTATCAGTTGAGATGATACCGGGGCATACTCCTAATGGACAATACCTATAGAACAAAAAAGACACTCGGGGATAGGGCGTTTGAAAATGCTGCTCCCAAAGTATGGAACCGACTCCCTCTAGAAATTAGACAATGTCAATCATTGAAAATTTTTAAGGTTTTACTAAAGACACATCTTTTTAAATTAGCTTTTTATTAGTTCTTTTATTAACTCATATTTTACTTTTATTGTTTTCCGAAAATTGTAAATTATTATTATTAATATCATTATTTGGATTAGCCATTTATTACTTTAAGATTTTACTGTTGTAATGCGCATTCGATCATATCTTTATCGCATGCTAGACTGCGCAATATAAGAAACAAACATTATTATTATTATTAAAAACGTGGCACTAGAGTCCTTCTTTTCTTTCCTTCACTAAGGTTATGTGGTGCACAGAGTATTCTAAAATCTGACTGAGTAAATATTACTTTTACCGTTCTGAGTCTAACATTTATTAGAGGTCATAAAGCTTTCTCAGTGTTTCAATCAAGTAGTTATCGGGTTACCCTGTGCTAAAGATCGGCTGTCCAGAATTTGGAAGGTACGATGTGATTGGTTAAGCTAGGGAAAGGAATGTTCTCGGTTGAGCAGGCATTTGTGGGGAGGGACAAAATACAAGCTCCACTAAAAATGCCTGCGTGGGAGGAGCCTGTGTAACAGTTGTCATTTGTTATGTTGCCTTGACGGAAGATTGATGTACAAAGGTATCTGTCACCATATGGTCCAAAATAATTTGTTAGTTTAAAAAGTCAAATAATAATGCTGACAATCAAAACTAAAGTTTATTTTACTATTTTGCTTGTAAATATGGCAAAAAATGTTATGTAATAATGAAAAACATGAAAACTTGTTCTCTCAAAAACCATGAAACAAACGATGCCCAATGCTTTGAGAACTTGATTTATGAAGCTGTGTCACTTTTGAACCAAAATTCAAGAAAACATTAACACAATTATTAAAAGTCACTGCTATAAATCTCTTGCGAATCCTTAAAACAAGCAGAATCCTGATCTAGTGTCAAAAAAGGCACTGTATCTTGTAAGAACGTTTTTAAACATCTCTATGTATTTTTTCAATTTGCAGAAAAATTTAGGTAAGGTCTCTCCATGTGGTCCCCAGTATTGTAACCAAATCATCACAATCACCACCACCACCACCACCACCAGTATCAGTATCATCAACATCATCATTACACTAATACCATTATCATAGAAATCACCACCACAACATCAACGCGCAATCCATATAGAGTGGAATGCTTTTAACATGACTGAAGTTGGTCCATAAAATTTTGGTTATAATGACTATAAATGAGTTGGTTGTAAGGCGTTCAACTCTATCTTCATTTTTGTGATCATCGGAACCTCTGAAAACATAAGTGTTGGTCAACATCATCATTTATCATCACCATCACAACAATGAACCATTGACCACTGTCATCATCATTATAGCTGTCATCACGAACAAGCCTCTTAAAACTATTTAAAACGGGGTGGATGAACAGATAACTCCCTACATTCGGCAAAGGGTCAATTTTTCTGAGCCATTTTTTATCACCCACTCCTCAGCACAGGTTTCTGGCGATGAGCTGTTGTTGTCCTCACTTTCTGAATCCTGGTTTTCATCATCTTCACTCTCCGAAGCACTCATTTGATATAACTCTCGACGATGCTTATTTTTTTTTATTCTTTGCTGTTCTCTTAGTTGCAACTCGATCTCTTCCTTTGTAAGGTACCGTTTATTGCAATGCTTGTCAATGGAAGGTCTCTTTTCTCTTCTTTCCTTCCTCTTCTCACCAAGCTTTTTTAGATAAGAACAAGATGTACATGATTGATGAGCAGCTGATGGTGAGATTAACTTACACTTGGATGAAAATGCGCCACTTTGAGGTGAAGCGTCAGGATCTGTTAATGATCTGAACATTCCTACTCTGTGTGGCACCATTGACATCATTTCTTGTTCAAAACGACAGCCAAGGCAAGTGCCCGAATTTTCAAGAAGCTCTATAATCATTTTAGCTTGAGCTGTCACTGGCAAATCCTTGCAAATCTTTTGCAATTTCAAGTCCTCCAAACTTACTTCATTTCCATGGGATTTGATTACACACTTAACTCCTTTCTCTGAACACAATTCCATTGATATTTCAGTCAAAATTCGCCGCTTTTCAAACTCCCAGGTCCTAGGACGTATTAGACTGATCTTCTTTGGGTTGTCCACCACTTTAAACCAGCCTTTAGGCAGCACATAATCGTCTTTAGCCATTTCTTCAAAACCAAGCACCAAGTCATCATCAACAGACCACACTTGATTTTGTTTAAGAGTCATGTTCATGTAATGGGTCTTTTGATCACCACGTGGACCTCTTCTTACACGCTTGACCTTGCCATCCCATATATCACTTAGGATCCTACCCATGGTGTGTAACTTGAGATCGGTACGAAACCCAAACTCTTCCTTCTCTCTTCCAGCACATTCTAGAATGTCCTTTAGAGGGGTTAGACTTCCTTCTTGAAAACTGTAGTTCTTCAAGACCCTTGAGAAATGTTACACAAAGCAAGAATTAAGTACAAAGTTAATAACAAAACTACAGTCATCTTCTTTTGAAAGAAGTACAGTACAATATTAATATTCATTACTTGCAATTAGAATCAAACCTCTATAATTTATGCAGTCACCCTCTATTTTTGAATAATAATAATAATATTAATAATAATAATAATAATAATAATAATAACATACTTAATTATTCAAGTTCACAAGTCCAGCGCTCTAACTGCTCGACCTCGCTGCCTTCGTAATGTAAATGATATGATTTGATCTCAATGTTACCGAAGCAATACAACCCAAGGAAATAAATGATAATTCTCCCAGAAGCGCACTTACCAAAGTTTCCTATAATTACTGTACAACTGACCTGTATCAAGCGGTCATGTCTATTATGCAATTGCGGCCACCTTTTCTGAAGTCCCAACAAGTTCTTTTATAATAATAAATTTATCATAATAATATTAATAATAATAATAATTATTATTATTGTCTTCACCTGTACATATGGTCACTTTAACAAGATGTACCATATACTAGTGCAACAGATATGTTACAAGTCAAATATGATCTTAGGTTAATTTTGATTTAACCTAGGTTGATTCCTTTGTCTCCTAGCCCTAATTATTCACGAATTAGGGCTAGCAGACAAAGGAAATTAAGAATCAACCTAAGTTAAAAAAATCAAAATTAACCTGAAATCAAATTTACAGATACACTGTGTATGGCTTTCAGTGGTATTATAGTTTAGAAAAACCCAAAAAAGTGCCCTTGGCTGTTAAAGGGAGGCTTTGTTTAAATTTCTCTGAGTGGTTTTGCTCTACTATGCTTTCATTCTTGAACTTCGGAAAGGGAATTTTTGTGTTATTAATATATTTTGGTTCAGGCACAGTATTACAGGTTTCCCTCTAAGTCTAAGGGATTTTGGGGGTTTTGAGGGGGGGAGGGGGGTATTTATGACCTCATTTACACCTTTCGTCAAACATAAATTTGGAGTATCCCCGCCCTTACCCAGTCACTGTACCAGGCATGCTTGGTCAATTCATGTCGGTGATGTATCTGAGATGATATCGCCCAGACCATGTGATACAAAATGCATAGCCCGCGTGGAATAATGAGACCTAGGGACTAGGCAAGAGTACCTCCCTCCCAAGAAGATAAGTAGCCCAGGTAAGGTTAAATCTCTTCTAGCCAACATTAGCATGAATACTAATCTCTTAATTTGAATCCACAGGTAGCCCAAGCTGGAAATATGAACAAAGGCGAACATCGGCATTGTTGCGTAACATTCAAAATATATAACATTTCGCAACAATGCTGATGTTCGCCGACGCTCATATTTTGAGGTTGGGCTACCTGTGATGAATCTGGACACTAATAACGGAGAGGTCTGGGTTGGGGGCGAGCAGTTGTGCATTGCATAGGAGTCGTCCCATTTCAGAATTGAGCAGTATATAGTGTATAAGGGGTCATAAGACCATACTGATAACCAATTGTAATACACCACGCTAGCTTGTAGTCTATTCCTTAATTTTTGATATTATCAATCAAAGGCTTAGAATTTAGTGCACTCTCAGCAAACAAGCAAGCAAGCAAGCAAGATTAAGGTTTTCTAGAATACGGTAGCTAACACAAAAACAATGCAAACTCTGCAACCGCTTTTGTCCAGATTTAAGTTCCAGGGCAGATTGCAAAACGCCTGGTGTTTTTATCACTGGTCTTTCATTAGTTAGAGAATATAAGCTTATTTTAAGCCGAATTATCAAGCTTACCAAAATTTCCATTGTATATCTGTACCAGATTTTGTCGCCTTTTTTCGCTTAGCTCTAGAAGTGTGTTCTTCGTTCTGCGAATCCTCCAGATTTCTTTTCGAGACGAGTCCTTCCTTTTCAGCTTCTTCACGATTCTTTTCCATCTTTTCCGTACAATCTCCCGAAGAATTGGATGATGCCGCCGACATTCTCCAGCTTTGCACTGCTCAGTGCGAAAATCCTTTTACTCTAGGGAGAGGAGGGTGCAAGTTGATGCCCGACGTGATCGTTGGGATAGGAAAAAGTTAGATACCAGTCCTTTCTCCTATCGCTCTTTCTCTTAGCCGCCATCTTTGACGAGTGATAGTCGTATTTCTCATCATGGTAAGTTACGACGCTTATTTTCCTTGTGCGAGATCGATTTAGCTTCATTGAAGTAAGTAAAAGATTGAGTTAAGCATAAATGGTAGGATTCAGTACGGATTGCTTACGGATGGCTGCAAATGATAGAAGCTTTAGCCAAGTTCTGTTGTCGTGCGAATCATGAAGTTTTGCGTTGTTTCCTTTAGCCGTCCCACAAAAGCTTTAAAATCAAGAGAAAGCTGGGCAAGAAGATGAAGCAAAACAGGCCAATCCCACAGTGGGTTAGACTAAGGACTGGAAATACCATCAGGTGAGCTTTTTGATGTGTGCTCTGATTAGACTTCGATGGGACAGACGCACAGTCCAGCCTTGCTTTTTTATTCATTTATCACTCCATAATATTAATTTTACAAATAATGTTTTGCTGGGTCGTATTGGTATAGTCTAGTGAAATTAGCCTGATCATACTAGCGTAATTAATTAAATTCGTAAACCACGTAATGATACATGAGCTCAAATATAAGGTAGATGGAAAATACACTGTATCTTGGTTCAGGAGTCAAAAGAACGTAAGATATGGTCGACGCAACCCTTTCTGTCACACTTTCTCCCTTCCTGAGTGCATCCTAAGTGGACAAAGCTAAAAGCTAAGAGTCAGACCTATAGTCCAGATAGGCTAGACTGCAGATTACCTGCCTCTATTAAATCCGTAGCTCATCCATCAAAATAATGGTATGGAAAAAGGGTTTTTACCCTGCATACACTGGAGATGCTTAACAACTTTAAGAACCCTCTTTTGTTCATTTCTGTGGCCGCTGGTGTCCCCAAAATTCCTGGTAATGGCCTAGGTGTAACAAGTAACTTATTGACATGTATTAGTGATAAATAACTATGATGCAGGCATCAAAGGAATTGTATTTTATTGGCATAAGCTTTGGAAGATCAAAATGACTCCAGATATGCAGGCTTTATGTTGAAACACAAACTAGAACCAACTGTAATAGCTTGTTTAGCAGGCAGATTAGACTTGCTAAAAGTCAATTGCGTGAGCGCCGAAATCGCAAGGGGCGCTCGCTCACAAGCAACATAAGTCGCAAGTCGACTCGTTTTCATCTACCCAAGATTTAATTTATTTTACATAATGTTGGCATGAAAAGTGGTTTGTGACATAGTTTGACAGCCAACAGTGCTCATATGACTGGGTGGTCTGGACACTGAGATAAATGTAGATGACCTGACCTGAAACAAAACTGTTTTCCGAGTCTGTCTTTCTGCAAAATCAAAAGAAGCAACTTATTTCTTATACACCTGTTCTTTCAAAGTTTTCTCTTTCCTGTCTTCATGTCATTGTTGTCATGGTGCTCAAGTGTCACCAGACCTGCTTGTTCACATTACTAACAATAACAATTGTATAATATTAAATGTACATTACAATGTACATATTGTACGTGGTGTGTACCCGACATTATTATCCTTCATTCCCAGTGACGCATTTATGCATAGTAATTAGTGACAAGGAACCTATGCAATCAGCTTTTTATCAATAAAAGTAAGATGATGAATTTTAAGCCTGGTCAATACATGAGGAAGATGTTTTTCTCAGAGGTGGATCAGAAGAAAAGTATGCTCGATTGTACAGGCCATAAAGTTGTAGGGTCAACTTCTTTTGGGAATACACCTTTGCATTTTTTCTTCTGAGCTGCCTGTGCCACTGACTTAAAAACATCTTTTTCAAGCATTTCGTTATTTGGAAAACAACAATAGTTTTTAATTTAACCTCTGCTTGATGTTATTCCACTTTAGATATAATGCCAAGAGACGTCACTGGCGTCGTACCAAACTGGGATTGTAAAAGAAATCAGGATGAGACAAGCTTGCGGCAGAAATAGTTTCGAGTGGCACCAGTCATCTCAATCACTGTTGTTTCTGTACAATACCTATTAAAAGTTGTTCAGTTTAATAACACAGTTTTCATTTATCTGGTTCACATTAGCAGAATAGTTGGTTTGTACATGGTGTAATGGCTCTTTCCATCTGCCACTTCATGTTAGGGTTACAGGTTGTGGTCAAGTTAATGGTATCATAAACTGATGATAATAGAGTACCGAAGTGTGACGTCATAAAAAATGAAATTTGTGAAATTATGGGATTTGTTAAGCTATTCTGAAAGAACAACGTCCAAGACGCCTACTCGCCAAAAATTAGCAATTTGGGGCAAATTGTCTCTGAGATATTAGCCCAGATATGCTCCGATAACTCCATACAAATCCTTCTAAATCTTACCTGGTTCCTAATCTTATGAACCAAGCCAAATTTAGAAGGATTTGTATGGAATCGTCACAGCATAACTGGGCTAATATCTCAGAGACAATTTGGCCCGAATTGCTAATTTTTGGCGAGTAGGCGTCTTGGACGTTTTTCTTTCAGAATATCTTAACAAATCCCATAATTTCACAAATTTCATTTTTATGACGTCATCACTTCGGTACTCTATGAACCTAAGATAGTGCCCAATCGGTGTACACATTTTGCTACACTAGCAACAATCATCTCTCTGTTCTTATGTCACACAATGTTCAACATTTGAATAAGCTTTTGTACTAAGTAACTGTACATAATCATATTAGTCCAAAGTGCAAGAAAACAATGAACAGGCTACTAGTTTTATTACAATGTATCCTTCTCTCTTGGCAAAGCCTGCTGTAACTTTTTTGTGATATTTTCTGGACACCGCAAAAGGTTCCATTCACATTGCCACATACTTATCATGCACATGCGCTGTCATTATAATGCCTTACACTGTTCTTTCGCAACCATCCCGTTGATGGGAAGAGTTCATCATTAAATTAACATTTGAGGGAACTAGTTTCTCAAGAGATCAGTCATTAAGTGATTTGCTTAAAAGCCCAAAAAGAAATTAGATTGTACAAATTAATGAAAGTAATGCTTAGGGAAACATTCATGAGTAAGGCCACATTGTTATCCTTTGATGTCGAAGCTTTTGCACTGTTGCCTGCTCAGTCTTTAGAGGAAACAGCGTGTATATGTTGGTACCTAATCCAAGAGAATCACAAGCTGATTAACCATACAAGCAATCATTAATATAACCATTGTTTTCAACATTTTAATCCAGCAGTCTAATTCATTTCATGTATGTGTATATATACAGTGTTTGGTGGCAACAATATCTAAAATAAAACATTATTGAAAACACCATAATGTTCTTTGGTGGGTGCTTCATGTAAACCTGACTTTTTCAGTATATTAGAGTTCTTTGTATGAGCTGCATGTACAGTGTATGCAAGTTTACAAGAAGCTGCATTGCATCTGCATTGCATCAGAGCAAACCATATTGCAAAAGTTGGATTTACATGAAGCACCACCCAAACAGGAATTCCACATGGCCAATTTCCTTAACACTTTCACTCTTGAAGGTGGTAAAATTATTACAAGAGACAACTCTGTAGGTAGACACCCAGAGTTAATCCATGATGTTCAGTCACACTGTTTGACTCTATAAAGCAGGCATCTCTACAACATGGACACTCTCCTTCCTGTGGGTGAGGTCATTGAAATGAAACCTCTTCCACAGTATTTCTTCAAGTATATTTACAAAGGGAAATAAGTTATTTTTTTTCTTCATTTCTAGGTTTGCTTTTTTTTGCAGTGAAAAGGTTCATAAAATACAAATGACCCCTTTTTTGGGAAGTATGTCCATCCAATGCCTTCTTTCAGTCTCTGTGATTGATGGTCATGAATTGGTTGCCAGGTACCATTCTGAACTTGGGTGTCAAGGCAACATTATCATAATCAAATTCTGTATCGAGAGTAAATGGTTGCACTTCATCTGTACCTTCACTTCCCTGTGATGTTAAGACGAAGAGAGCATAATTAGAGTGAGGGATTTTAGGAAATCAAACATCAAAGCATTTTTCTCTGCAGGACAATCTTATTGGCTCAGAGAACTAGAGTGGCAGCAAAATAATGCTTGGACCCCCATTGCATCAGGTTAAAACTTAGACCCGAAACAAGTGCAATATCAAGCAAAGCAGAGGATTAAGTGACTTTCAACCCACAAAGAGAGAGCCCCACCCCCTTCCCAAACACCCAAATCAATAGACCATGTTACTTTATAGACTGCAAGCAGTCTCTTTTTTTTTTTTTTGAGCATGGTAGAATGTGAACACTTGGGAGGGGTGAAGAAATGAGGGTGGAGCCTGAGAGAAGAAAGCAAAGAAGTCCTTTTTCCTCTTTCTGCCCCAATCTCTCCTCCTTTTTACCATTAACTTGCACAATTTGCTGCATTGGCTCTGAGGAAAGGACAACTACTTGCAGTCTACTAAAAGGGTATAAAGTACTGTACAGGGGATCATTTGCGGTCTCGGGATCATTTGCGGTTGGGGATCATTTATTTTGCGGTACTGTACAGTTCTATTAATTTTCTCATGAGTGATAACAGTGCCATACAAGGGCTTATATGGGCAGACTGAGAAGGAAATAGAGTGCGGCACATACCACATTGAGGCTGTGTTCACTTATCAGATTGTCCCCCTTTAGTCTTGTGGAGATCTGCAGTTGTCTTATGTTTGGCTCCATAGATTCCTTTAATCCACTATCTGAATAGAAATGGAAATATTTAAAACAGAATATAGAAAGACCAACACACACAACTGTTGATTGGGTTTGATAAGATATATGTATGTAAAACAAGACACCCACTTTACCACTGCCCAATAGAGAGGACAAGACATGATGTCACGTTGTCATGGTAGCAAAATTTCTAAATGACACAAACCAACACGTCACTTAAAAAGTCAGGGTCGGCCAGGTGGGGGTAGTGGTTTACCAGTATACCTGAAAAAAATTCGCCAAAAATACCCAAAATTATACCCAGGTATACTTTATACCTGAAATTCAAAGAAAGTGATATACTGAATACCCATGTTTAAGCTGCAATATACCATATACCCGATTTAAAAAGCCCCTGTATACCGTATACCCAAAAACCCTGGCCGACCCTGAAAAGTGGATTCGCACTGTTTCAAACTTCATCGATCTAATTTAATTTCATTTATTTTGTCAAATGTTGGCAAAATTTTCTGGGTCAAATTCAGCTAAGAAATGTACAAATTAAAAACATGACGCATGTGCGAAGTTATTTATTTTTTTTGCCAATCTAAACCTATTGTTTTTTTGCTGTTCATCATTGCAAAAACTCCCTATAGTTATGATCCAGAAATTTTGCTACCAAGGTAACGTTGCATCACACTTCTCTCTATTTGGAAGATTATAGTCATGTCAAAATACAATCTGTCACGTAAGTTTAATCAGAAGTGTTCATACTGAAGTCATCACACAGGTACTCCTCTTCCCCATATTTTTTGTCTTAGACTAGACACTTAACACCTGTCAGATTGCCTATGCACACAATATACTCCACTTACCCACACACATAATTTATACGCCTACTACAAATTATTAAAGGTATTTAAAAGATCTTTTGATAAGTTAAGAAGCCCTGGTAATAAATATTAATCCTTTTGCACACCTTAAAAAGAATGTAAGTATTTCATGTCACAACTCCAATTTACCTTCTTCATCAGCTGTTTCCTGGTCCTCAACCTCCCCTGGAAGGTTTGATACACCATCTAGCAAAACAAAATACACATACTGCAACAACGAAGTGATGGGAAGCTTTTTTAAAACCTTATTCTCAACTTCGCTCCGTAGGGTGGGTAGGAGAGAACCCTGGGAATGCGGTTGCCTTATTCTTGACTATTACAAAATAGGATTAAAATGAAAATTTGGCTTAGTCATTGAGTTTGTGCAGTCTGCAGATAACCAATAAAATAGCTGTTTTCATACAATTTGGGGTCTTTTTAGAGAGAGAACTACACTTGTAAGGATTTCCTTAGAAGACTGCTTTGGGTTTCACATAACAATATTATTAGTTTACAAACTCAAAGCAATGTAATTTAAGGTTGTAAATATATAAAATGAAAGATATAACACCACAGAAAAGGCCATTGAAATTTCAAGAGATAACACCATAAAAGACAATCATAATGAAGGCTCAATCAGCAAGACCGAGAAATTTCATGTCCCCTTAGTATTATATTGTTTATATGACCCATGAGATAAGTGTTTTACAGCACAGTCATCATTAATTATAGATATTTTAAATAATTAATATTAGCTTAATTACCAGATAGATAACAGATGTTTTTGGATTCAGGGCATTTATCATCTAGATCAGCGGTTACGTTTTTCTTCTGATGTCTAGTTTGATCTGTTGTTAGTTCACTTTTTGACGTCCTAGCTGGGCATAATGATGATACTGAAGGAGAATAACTAGATGAATAAAATATTTCATCTTCTAAAAGACCCTGATCATGCATCTTTGAATCGTCTTCCTCATCATCGCTTGCATCATCTTCGCAGTCAATAAAGTTATCTACCTGAAAAGTGAAATGTGTGGCTCAACATGACTGGGTAAAATAATACTAACAAATGAAAAGATTGTAATTCAATGCATTAATTTAAAATAAAAGACTATTATTATAATTATTAAATATGGTTACAAGCACCATCACTTATGAATGATTCGATACGTACACCTTGCATGATCAGTCCATGAAAAAAATATATAAGCCAGGGAAAGTTTGATAGTAATAATAACTATTGATGCAAAGTTCTATCCCTTATAATAATTACCAGTAATTTACTGGTAATTATTATAAGGGATAGAACTTTGCATGGCTCAAAAGACCACTTAAAATAATTGTGGTCCCGTCTCCAGTGCACTTAAGTGCTAAATAAATTATTGACAATCATTGCAAATCAAGTGCATTTTTAAAGTAAATTAAGCTACGGGTCAACACATGTCAGTTGTCCTATTGATGCAGAAATATATAATTATTTGTGAGCTTGAAAATTCATTTTCACTAGAGAAAATATTTTCTCTGTGGTATTGAGGTGTAAAATAATCTTACCTGAATAAATGATTTGCTTGATGAATCAGCTGATCTCATCAAGATGGAAGGAGTTGCTGAACCAGGTCCTAGTATCTACGATATTTAAGCACCATTGAATGACAACTATCAGATCATGTGTTATTACAAAACTGAACTCCATCCCAGTGATTTAGCATTGATTGCCTCTACCCCCATTCCCTCCATTCAAAGTTGGGTTTGTTTGTTGTTTCCTACAGGTACAGTTGAACCTCCCTGTGCGATGACCCTTCCTACGTGACTCACACCTCCAATAAGTGAAAACTTCCAAAACGCAAAAATCTTTCAAGTCCAATTAGAAAAATTGTGATTGATTAATTCTATGTAGTTATATCGTCAGTGTCAATTATTGTAAGTTGCATTTCGTCTCCTCCCTTTTTTTTTGTTTTTTCAATTCCTTATTACGTAATTATATACCTCTTTGTAACTTTAACAGTGTGATTTGAATAAAACAATAATTAATGAAAAAAAATTTTCCAAGTCAACAAAGATTAGGCTCTAAGTGTCTTGCAAGTGTTTAATTTCATATAGCATTCACCATGGTGATTCCTATAAATTGGTCTTTAAAAAAACTTACTTCTTCTGGAATGGTGTCATTTTCTGTTACACTAGAAGACTCTGATGATGACAGGCTTTTTACAATAGTATCCCCTGTCTTTTTGTCTTGTTGACCAATAATCTGAGAACTTTTTGCTTCGTATCCTGTTACATCCTCTATAGAGATTAAAAATATGCATCAAATTATTAAAAAAAATTACACAGTATACTTTAACACGCAAGATTTAAAATTTCTCTGGATTACAATTGAGTCAATCTCAGGGAATTTATGCATTTACTCTTACCCTTACCCTAACATGGATTTTCAAATTTCATGCCAACAGGTAGGTTTGCCTAAAACCCGCATATTATCCAGAAGCCCCACACCAAACGCCAACACATGACTCTGACGTTTAGTGATTAGGGTTTACTGAATAAATCAGGTTCCATTAAGGGTCATTATGGAGGTGGCTGTGGGAGCACATGTGATGCGCTGAGCAAGTGGTGCTCCCATCCCCTCCCCCACCTCCCCCTCTCCACCCAAAATGCACATTAGCACTTCAGGGTGATCTTCTCTGGCTTGTTCCACGCAAGCAGCTGCCAGAGGGAAAGGGAGAGCTACCCCCTTGCTTTTGCTCCCCCCTATAAATAGCGCTTTTCTATCCAATTGTGACGTAATTCATGATCAATGACTGTGATTATCACAATTAACATCACAAAGGTCTTTTGTTTGTAAATTTTTTTTGTGAACGTCGGCTGTACAAGAAACAAAACAATCAGCGTACACAAAATATAACTATTTAATTAAGGTGGATTGTCAAAAACCTTGTCCCATCTCTTAATCAATAGATCTAAATTACGGTGGTCGTCAAGGCGGTAATAAGCTTTAGTGTATGAAGCTGAAGCGCGCATAATACTTCAGAGCAAAAGGTCTCTAACCTTTTTTCAGGAAGGTAAATCCCTGCAAGAATTCTTCGTATGTTTGCTGTTGCTTGCTAAACAGCACATCAAGGGCGTCCTTAGTGTACTGATCAAAATCAGGAGATTCCTCTTCGTTTCTACACCTTTCACCCTTCGCCATATTTTTTCCAGCTCGTTTGAGCGAACTTGAAGACTAAAACCTAGTGTTTAGTCTCTCTCTGACCGTGTAACCAAGCACCGATTCTAAACATACCCGCAAGGCGGGAAGATGGTGAGTAAAATTTTCTTTTTTTTCATATATTTTCCCCGGCTCTCCATTTCTAGGACTTTCTCTAGATAGTACTAGTATCTGTATTAGTAAATTCATAGGTTTTTAGTTTTTGGAAGTTCTGCTGCGAGCTAGAAAAACTGTTGTTCAAGTCCAGCAAGTTCACAGATGAAGGCTCGTACATCAAACAATTTGTAGATTTTCAAGCCATGTTTGCACGTTTCATCCAATATGGGAAGAAGCAACATTGATTCACCATTCGATTTAATCTTTGGGAGTTAATTTCTATAAATACACTTGTACAATTTATGTGCAGTTTGATCGAGCAAAAAAAGGGCCAACGTTTGTAGACCACAGGATTACCATCTTCTGTTTGTGTTTATATATATTCGGCCTGTATGTCTTGAGTTGAGTATTGATTAAAAAGAGGGTTATTTTGAAACAGTGGAAGGAGGTAAATACAGACTTGCCAAACCCCAAGAGGCAGAAATCTCGAGATTCTGAACTTAGAGCTGGGAAAAGTCGTATAGAAGTGGGTCAAAGTTGTGAGATGTCCCAAATTTCCTAGTAGGCAGTGATTTTGTTACGCCTGTGTCCTGCGTCCCTGACACGTAACAATTCTAAAGGATGCAGAATAATTGATGCCTTGCGTCTTTTGGGACACCAAGATTGATTGCAATCGATTTATCGATCTGAAGATGTTTTTGAAGAATGCCCAGTTTGCGCGGTTTTAAGTAAGTATTGAAAGCTACCGTACCTCAAAACGAAAGAGTAATATCATCCGCTCGTTAAATAGTTTAAGGTTATTTGTGAATGAATAGATAGAAATATTTCCATGCAAATTCTCTGATACGATTTTTTTAAAAAGTGGCCATGTTTATTTACCTGATGGAGTGGTTACTTATTATGATTGTTTGCCATATATGGAAAGCACGTGGCTGAATCAAGATGGAATACAGTGGTTCATAGATTAGTACAGCAAAGCCTTGGTCTAACTGATTCTAAGCTTCAAGGGCTTGTTAACTTTAATATATGAAAATTAGAAAACCCACCCAAGAAAGTTTTGCACCTATGCCGGGACAAAAAAGATAAGTTTCCGAGGAGAGCCACTAGGTATCACTCCAAACAAAAAAACCCAAGAGTGGACCTGAGAGTGACAGCGTTACTGTTTTCTATTTTTTGCTATAAAAGAATGTAATTTGATTTCATTACACTGACTATAATGTATTACACAGATGAGTGCTTTGCTGTTGATAATGTTCTACAGATTAAACGCGATAGTCTGGTTTCATGAGAGTTTTGGCATCTTTTTGTGTTTTGAACTGGGATGCTTTGATTCTGGACTAGGACTCCTGACCTTTCATAAGATGAATCCCAGGACTTTCTATTACCAAATTGTAACAAAATCACTGAGTTGAAGGACTTCAAGGGGGTTTATGGGTTAGGGTTAGGGTTAGGGTTAGGGTTAGATCTATTCTCTCTTGAAATAATGTATCATTTTAAAGCTGGAGCAGTAAACATCATGATCAATGAGTGATTTAGATTATTGTTAACAGTGACTACTAGTCTACGCATTTGGTGGTAGGAGCCAAACATGGGATGACACTCCTGGCTAAAAACATGACCTAAGAATAAACAATGCACCAAGCTGGCATTCACACATACTAATTAAGCATGACCTGCCTATGTGTTTTCTTTAGTCTGAGTTTGCTATCTTACTTAACTTGGAAGCAAACCCTACAGATGCCCCAGAATTTTTTCAACTCTAGAGAGTGCAAATGAGATGTAGATTGTGAAATTGTGAGACTCATGACAAAGTTGTGAGACTTGCCAAGTCTGCAAATACAGTTGTTGATCAGGCAGAGTTATTATGGAGGAGTTAATTTTAACCCTTTAAGCCCCAGTATCCACATACAAATTCTCCAAACTGATCTCCAAACATTTCCTTAAGGAATTAGTTGAGAGAATTTGATGATAGATCAGGGCATTTTCTCTCAGGTGATTATTTTATTAATTCTCATAACGTCTCTTTTGACAGTGTATGGATATTGTTGGGAGAAAATTGATCTTAGTCACTATTGGGACTTAAAGGGTTAAAAGTGGCTTTGGAGTCAAGTTCTCCATTGAGTTCAAGGAATAATTTATTATTACTGCAAATCCAACCTGATTACATGGCTGACAGACTTGTTCAAAAAACCTTATTGTAGAAGTGTCCAAGTAGTTAGATGAATTCCATAAACTTCTGCTCATAACCCCGCCTGCCCTCCCCCCAGTCACTGGCCCATCTACGTGTAAACAAAAACATTAAGCAGTTATAAGCAGGGTGGGCCAAAACCTATGTCTGATTGTGTGGGACAGGTAAAAATTTAGTTTGGACATGTAAACCTTCAACATTAGTTGCCCGTGGGACCAGCTCATTTTTAATCACAAAGTGCAGTGACAGTTGAAAATTGACTTCAAATTACAACCAAATTTCATATAGTGTGTGTCCAAAGGACAAGTAGATAAGAAAATTTTTCTCTTACTCTGATAAGCCCCCTCCCCACCCTCCCAGATATTAGCCTTCCCTCTAACTTGAATTGAAATGAATTCGATTTTTTACAACGTTTTGGAGCTTAGAAAAGCCCTCCTAAAACCCCTTATTCAGGTTGTTTGTATAAGCCCAAGGCTCATAGCGGAAATCAAAGTTTATGGTAAAAGAAAATTGATTCAAAAGTGTAAGTTAATGTTAAGATAAAATAATTTTAAACTACTTAGTAAAATTTAAAAATGCACAAAAAATAAACCCTTCAGAGGGGAGGAAGGCAGTGAGTAACCCAAAAATACCATGTATTATCAACATATTTGACAGACTGACATACTGAGAATTCACTCCAATTTTAATGGTCAATAAGCTTCCAGAACTTTATGAGGCACTCAAAGTTTTAATAGCAAACTTTGTCCACTTTTTGTTAAAATCATTGCATTACTACTTTAATACTCCATAGCCACCAAAAGCAGCAGCCAAGGGAAAAAAGAGTGCCAAGCTAACAAAAGCTGAGAAGGAAAAGTTAAAAAAGGAAGAAGCAGAGAGAAAGGCAAAGGAGGAAGGTGGTTGTTAATACTGGTGGTAGTTTTAGTTTTAAGTACTGAAATCTTTGTAGTAAAGACTATACTGACTAAGGCATTAATTTTTTACCAAAATTGGGTTGGCCCTGACCTGTAGGACTACAAAAGAGTTGGTCTATTGGCGTGCCCTGAAATTCACTAGAAAGGTTAATAATAATAATAATAATAATAATAATAATAATAATAATAATAATAATAATAATGCCCAGTGGGGTAGATCATCTTGGAACATTGTCAATTACAGACAGGCTACATTGTCGACTAAAGACTACTCTTAAGACTTGCAAGTAATGGCCCTGTGTAAGCAAATTGTGAAACAGTTGAGAGATGTTGCAATTGGAGTATAACTTAATGAAATGTCAACACTTCATACTGACAGTTTCCTATTAATTTAGTTATACAAATTATGTGGGATAGTAGTTACATGTCTCTTTAGACTTGTTTTTTTATGTAGAGTTGTTATTGAGCCAGTAAGAGTTGTCTCTACCTTTCAGAGGAGGCAAGGCTCCAAGCTGAACAAGAACAGAGAGAACGAGAAGAGCGAGAAAGACAAGAGAGAGAGGAAAGGGAGCGACTTAGGCAACAGGTATTTCCAAGAATATTTGAACTCTCCTTACAGTTATACTAGTAATGCACTGTATATATTGTTCCTTCTTCTTGTTTGGATTGCCTTACTTGCAGCATACTCATATATATGTGGTAACAATCTTAAGTAATAGACCCCTTAAGCATATGGGACCTCTCTCATTTCCCCATGTAGATCATGTGGTAACTAATTAAGGAACCACTTCTTTCCAATTTTATCTCATTCACATTCATGCAAATGTACGTGTATTTAAATAAAGGGACCTACATTCCTGGGACAACAAGACATACCGGTACCAGCTAAAGTAGAAAAAAGTGTTGGCAAAAGTCCATAGTTTCTAGCTACAACTGGGATCTTGCTCATGCCTTGGCCAGAACCTTCATATGACAGGATGTGTACTCTCCTAGTATTCTTTTTTAGATTACGCCAAGTCACTTGATCTGCCTCAAGGTTTAGTGTCAGGTTTATATGTGGCTGTACCGTACTCCAGGGTATTGTCAAGTTACTCTGTCGCCTTTCTTTTTATATTTTGACTTGAATTAATTTGTCTTAGGAGAGTGCCAGACATCAGGCTGAAGTGGATGAACTCAAAGAAAAGATTGAAAATAACTCTGAAAAACTTAAAACTTTACTGCAAAATGAGCGATCAAAAGCGAAGGTTGGTGTAGTAAGTTATTAGTGCTTGCATGCTTATGAGTGCTTTGAGACATGACTGGGGCAATCCATCAGGCTCATGTATGCTGCCATCATACATTAACCTTTGACAAGCAAAGTTGTTACCTTTCTACAGACTAATTAGTTACTTTTCCAGCTCCTCAGAGTGTAGTTAGGATTTATAAAAGCAAGCCTCTTTCCTTTAGTCAGACTGATTTTAATTTTGTGTTTCATATTGTTCCTTTTTTTGACTCACCCTATGTTTTTCTGCGCAGTTGATTTTAAAACTGCTGACTGCTGTTACATTTGAAATAAAATAATAAATTAAAATAAACATTGGGTTAAATGTCCCACTTAATACAGGGTGAAAAGAAAACACAAAAGATTGCTTACCCTTTGCAAAAGCTTAGAGCAGTTGCACAGGTCTACCAGCCTGCTTTTTCACTAACACTTACTTCTTCTCCGAAAATGTTTCTTGTTTGTCAGACCAGTCATACGTTAAACATGCTTAAGCGCTGCAAGATGCTTCAGTGATGACAATCCACAGGCTTTTGATCAGGACTTTTGGACAGTACTTTTCTTTCATTTATAACGTTTGTTAAATTTACAGATTACAAGGTGTACGGAGACAACTTCTTTTCTTTGATGTTATACTGTGCTTCATAAAGAAGTGCACAGGTTACAAATTAGGATGTTTAGTGGAAGTTAAAAGATTATGTGAAAAAAGAAAATTTCTTAATAAAAATAAGAAATGTCATGCCATTATTTAATAAATAAGACTGGTAAATAGAGACTTAAGTAAGGAGAATTTGTACATTGAGGTTGTCAACAGTACTGATAGACACTTATTTCTAAAATTTTATTTCTGTCAAATGTATGGACTAAAGTTGATGATATCCTCTATTGTAGTGGGAGAGATATATGCTGTGTGATGGCAGTCCTGATCCCCTTAATACTTGTGAGCTGAACACTTACATGAATCTTTGGCGAGATGACAAAGAATACAAACCATTAAGTAAGGTGCTCAAAGAAGCTGAAGAGACATTGAAGGTAGTCCGTCTAAATATTTTACTTGTATATCTCAAGTGAGCATATTTTAAAGACCTTTGTAAATAGACCACACTAAATTCTATGGGTTTACCAGCGTGATAGCCCAGGGTGCAAAGAAAAACATTTTTACAGCTTGCCATTCGGGCAAGCTGAAGCTAGCATTTACTAGCCCAGATGTCATTTCAACTAGCCCCAAAAACGTTTTGTTCTTTTGTTATTCAAACTCCTCATAAAACATCACTTGCCCGTCGGGCAAGTTAAAAACAGAATTCACTAGCCCGATAGCAAAATCCACTAGCCCCGGGCTATCGGACACTACTTTCTTTGCATGCTGTAGCCCATGCGGAATGTTGGGTCAACAGGAGGAAAGCTTGTAAATCACGAGCTGAAGGCGAGTGATTTACAAGCTTTTTAAGTGTTCTCCCAGCATCCTAAGTGGGTTATCATGCCGGTAAACCCATAGAAAGTGTGGTCTATTGCATTTATAAAATAACTTTAAGTTTTGTGTGAGTTTACCGGCACAATAAACCATAGGTTTTTAACCAATCAGAACATGCGTACTATCTTAGTTATTTTATAAATTATGAGATATAGATGTGACAGGCTAATTGTAATTATATTCAGGTTAAAATTTTTTAACAATTTTATTTCCTTTGTATCCTAGCCCTAATGCATGAATAATTAGGAAAGGAAATTGAGAATCAACCTAGGTTAAACAATTAACCTGAATTTAATTTTGACATGTAACACAGACACAATAAATCTTCAGGATTTTGTTATAGAGACTCATTAGCCTTTTGTGTGTCATTTCTTTGGTACTTAGTTACACTGCATTTGTAATGATAGAATAATCAATCTTAATTTTAAGGAAATAAAAGCATGACTTACTGCCGAAGAGTATAATTTAAAAACTCTATTTTTGATAGTTTATTAAAGTGCCTCTACAACTCGGTATGGAGAAAGTGATTAGATGTATTTTTTAGAATTATTTTGAAATTAATCTTTTAGATCTTAGATTAAGACCTTTTGTTGTTAGCTCCGTATTGTATTTGAATTTTCACTGTCATTATAATAGTTAGTTTATACGACCCCACAAAATTTTTAGCTTGAAATCACATAATTTGTGTCCAAATGAAATTTTTATGTACTGAAGGGTAACTGTCTATTCCAAATCAGTAATCACTTTATGTTGCAACAGCTCATCACAGAAATGAAGAATTTGATGTTCAGTTCAGAAGAGGAAGGCTTTACAGAAGATGACACACAACAGCTTAAACAGGTAACTCCTGACACAATGATTTCATTAAACATACAGTGTATACTGTTTGTAGAATTAAATGGTTCAGTTTAATCTTTGCTTTAAATTTTATTTTCCTAGGTTTCAAAGTAAACTCATCATCATTCATTGCCATGCATACCAATAAACAAAGGAACTGAAACAAAATTGAACATTGAATATTATATATGTTGTGGTTCAATTTTTTCCTTAGTTTAAATTTTATTTTCCTTTGTTTTGGGGTATGGTATAAGTGTATGATAATGAGTTTTAAACAAAGGAAAATAAAATTTAAACCAAGGAAAAAAGTGAACCACAACATACACATGATTGCATGTTATTTTTAAGTAAATTCTTGTTAGTTCAAATATGGCTATGAGTTAATGAACATTATCTATTTTTTGTAGCTAATTTTAAACTGATTTGGGTTTACTAGACCTTACCTTTTTTCTTTTACAGTCAATTTTTCAGCTTGAACAGTTGATAAGTTATAAATTGGATGAGGCTACCATGAATCTGCTACAGGTAAGACTGATTAACGCTGCCCCGGACAAATTAATAGGGAGCTTAAGCAACAGTGATGGCAACGGCAACGAAAACTGCAAAAAAGCAATAGGTTTAAATTTATTTAGCGAAACAAAAACTTTTGCGTGTGCATCACCCTTTTTTGTACATTTCTGCCCAACTACAACATGAAAGTGCCTAATTTCACGTTTTGGAGAAGACATGAACACATGACAACAACTTTTTTAGAAGTCAACTCCAGAAAAAATCATCAGCATTTGATGAATTGAACAAGATGGAATAAAGGCAGTAAAGTTTAATCAGCACAAATTCTGTCATTGCTAATGTGTAGGAGGAGCATTTGCCACCATCTTAACTCCATTAAAGAGAAAGAATGTCACTTGAAAATAAAAAAGACCTTTGCAATTGCCTATAGTGGAAGATTATGATTTTACATAATTATCTTGTACAGTAGAAATCTTTCAAGCTCAGTTAAATTCTTTTTTCACAAACCATTCAACTTGAATACATGTGTGAAACCCTGTGTAATGACAACCAGCCTGTAATAGTCCATTAACACACTTACTTACCCACTGCCTGTAATGCCCGCTGGCATGAAGTGCAGCAACAAAGTTCCTCCACTCCTGTTCACTATTCAACTGTCTGTTCTTGGCCAGGTTCTGGATAGTACCCCAGGCGTGTTGTGGGGTCTTCATCTCTCCTTCTACCATTCGTCGCCAGGTGTTCTTCAGTGCCTCAACCTCTTGCGCTTGCCTGGTGGTGTCCAGAGTCACACACTAAATCATTTTGGTGTCCAAACACTCACTAATTTATTTTGAAAACCATCTTGTTAATACGACTAGATTTCCATGACCCTTGGGTGATTTCTCAATAACTTGTTTAATTATTTGACATTGTTATAGAATGCTTCTGATGATGTGGATTCTGATACACAAAATTTGCAGTTCACAAGCACTTCTCAAAATATGACAGTTTGTGTTTGGGGAAACGTAGCCAAGAATCCTAGGTATCGTCATTTAATATGTTTTTGAATACTCTTTTTAAAATAATTTATTTGGAAGGTAAGTTTTGCAGTAGCATCCAATATTGTTGGACTGAACCACACGCTCCAGTAGTTAATAAGTATGTGGGTTTGTGTCCTGTTCTTTGTTTCAGTATTAGCATTGTTTTGTCGTCACTACACAATTGACATTTCTGAAATATTTCAGGTGTTCAAAGTTTTCAGAAGTTACACATTGTAAACTTCCTTCTGAGCATGTGTTAATCACTTGGCTCCTAAATTGGATCATATGAATGTTCACTATTTTTGCAGGGTCAAATCCTTCTCATTTGAAAAGATGGGACTCACAATGGAAATCCCCAAAGTTCTTGCTGTTGGAAATGTGGCTGTTCGTATCATGTACACCAAGTATGACCACCTGTCTCCCTTATCCAAGTCATTTTACCCTAAGCTCAAAGTGAAACCTCCAGAAGTGGTGGTAGAAGAAGCAGAACCAGTGGAAGAGACAGCTGTTGATGGGGTAAGTATTTCCACATATAACTGCTGACAAAAGTTAGTCATGCACTATGCCATCCTCCTACTTTGTGTTTTGGCTGGCTATGCTTTTCCCCCAGGGCTCAGTTGTACTAAGACTGATTAGCTCGAACCTGAGGTTAAATTTTAATCTGCATTTCTTTTTCTTAATTTGTTTGAAAGCATTTTCTTTGATGATTTTCTCTATCTTCTTTAGAGCATCCTGCATAGTCCCACTGTAGACATAATGAATTAAGCTGAATTTTCCTTAATTTTAATCTTTCACATCTGAATTCAAATGTTGCACCGACCCTGGGTTATCTTAACCCAGCTTTGAAACACCCGGCCCAGGTGACCAGTAAAAATAACCACCAACATCATATCTTTATACCCCCAAGCAGCTATTCTGCTTGGTCATTCCTCTGACTATAGTCAAAATCAGCTACCCATTTCAACAATATAATAATGCCAGCAAGTTAAAACTTTTCTCACAACCCCTGGCAAATTGTTTCAACAAGTTGTGTGATTTAAAACTCCTTAGTAACTGACTTAAATCTCCCACCTTCTTAAGAAAAAACAAAGAGCCAAGAGAACTAGCTGTAAAAAACACCTTGAATTGGAGCAAGTAGGTCCTCTAAGACAGCAGTAGTTTTAATTCCTTAAACTCAAATAAGTTTACAAAAAATCATTGTTTATATCATGATTGTCTGTTTATTGCACACACTGCCAAAACTCTTTGTAGCCTAATGTGGCCAATTAAATAAAAGCATGGGGTTTGTTTGGGGTCTTTAGTTTTAAGTCATTTATTTATTGATAGCTTTTTGAAGTTTTTGTCGTTGTTTGATGTTGTAGACTGGTGAAGGTAACGAAGGAGAAGACAAGGAAGGTGCTGAAGATGCCCTGCCCCCCAAGTCTGCTTCACAAGCTAGTAGAGCAAGCAAAACTAGTAGAAAGAAGGTATTTGCAAATTAACGTTGTTCACATCTGTGTATGTCTGGTTATTTTAATTTCATTCCGCAAAAACCATGCATTGTTTGTGTTTAAGTATTTTTTTTTTATCTCAGGTAATTTTTATTCTTCCCTTGTTTCAACCTCATTAGCATACATTACCCAGGCCTTAAAAAAGTGCCATCCAGTCATCCAGGACAAACAGATTTTCTTCCCAGGCAAATAATTTTTAAATTCACTGGCCCAATGGGGTAGCATCTAACACAAGTCATCTTTTAACTAAATCATCGACTAAGGCGAGCAAGAAGTGACCCTAGGCAAGCAGAATGTGAGAGCTGCCTGCCCAAAGGACAAGCTGGAATTCAATATTTTTTCAAGCCCTGATAACAATACCCAAAAACAATAGAAAAACAAAAATTATCTGAGTTAAAAAATAGTATTAACTACAACATTTATAATGAGTGATTGTAAAGTACAGAATCAAAGTCGATTATCACTAACTTCTTTAAACAGTTACTATATAAATGATTTGTACTGAAATGTATATTACAGCCATTTGTTTAGTCTGTGAAATACATAGTCACTGTATTTTTTGTATATATTAAGCATAATGCACTGTTTTGTTGTCTGATTTAGTACACAGTGTTCAATAGTGACTTCACAGTTTTAGAATCTTTAAAAGACCAGGTTGAATTCTGAACTTATTAAACCCAGAACTTATAAGTCTAAAACAAAAGTAATTCAAAATTTTGAGTAGTATAAATAGTTTAAAAGCAGATTAAGTCACTGCAATTAAACCAGATCATTGTACATAACTTTATTAAGAACGTACTGAATTTAAATATTGGTACTAATTCTTATTTAATATTCATTTTTGGTTATCCTTTTTTTATCTTTTTACAGAGTGGAAGAGCCAGCAGTGGCAAGAGCACTCGGAGCCGTAAAGCTAGTGCCAAGAGTGTTAGAAGCCAGGCTAGTGATCGTGAGACTCCGCAAAATAAAGAAGGGGAGAATAAGGAAGCGGAGCAAGAAGGTAGGATGTGTAAGTGACAGAATATAATTTTGCAGAAGCAAAGTCACTGTACTAGGAATAGATAACAACTGTTACTTATAAGTCAGCCAAGAAATTTTGGAGATTTGTTGTCTCTATATTGTCCTTTCCCAAGGCTGGGTACTGCGATGAAGCAGCGGAGAGAGAGAGAGAGCCAGTTTCACCCCACACAAAAACATGATATCTTCACATGTGAAAATAACATGTTATCTTCACACGTGAAAATGTCACTGTTGCTATGGCAGGCAACCTGATAAATCGCACCTTTCACAGCCAAAAAAAAAAGTCAAATGGTTTGGTACTTCATTGATGTTTCTATAATAAATAGAACATTACGTGGCAGCTTGTAGATACAAAATTTCTTTTCTCAAAATGCAAGTGGAAAAAATGTTTCACTCATTCGCTACACTCACTTGTGAAATATTTTTTGATACTAGAAGAGAAATTTTGTATCTCTGCTTGGCTATATAATATCCTCTATGTATGTCCCACAAAATAGGTATTTGGGTATTACATTTCCTGGTATGTCCATCTTAAATGGTGACCTGGCCAGACATATGCCCTTTCTAAAAAAAAAGTATTTGCAGTCCTGTTTTTTGTTTAAGCCTTTGTGTTCTTAAAGCACAGCCTTGCCTGTGTTTCACTTAATAAAGTTGTGACAGTTCTGTAGCTCCTGTACTCTGATTTTTTACAGAAGGAGGTGAAGAGAAACCTGGTTCAGCTGATCAAGTAGGTGATGAGAGTGCTACAGGTTTGGAGGCTAGTGGACTGGAAGAAGAGGAGGAAGAGGATGATGATGTCGTAGATTTGCGGGCATTCAGTGCCATTGGTCCTGTCATGTTTATTGAGTTGCTGGAACTTCCACCTCAGCCAAAAATTGTTAAGGGGTGGATTATGCAACAGAGTAAGTGCAGTTTTCAATCTAGACCATGTTTTTGCATCATGATGGGGAATATAAAATTAAAATTATCATGGAGTCATACTGACACGAAAACGTTACCTCTTATATATTAGTATTTCCAAAGTAGAAAGCAATAATAATACCGTAAAAACTCGTGTATAAGCCGCACTCGTGTATAAGCCGCACCCCCAACTTTCAAGCATGATTTTGAAAAAAAAAAAACCAAAAATGCGCTTTTGTGAAAAAGGTGATCGTTTGTTCGCGCATCAAAATGTTCACAAATGAACTTGAGGAAATTTAATGTTGTGTATTTGCAGTGACATTTTAAATAAGTTAATCAACTCTGAAAATACCTTTTAAAAGGTTCTCTTTAATCAATTTCCCCATTTCCTGCGAAAGACAACAGTTCTCTTCATTGCTAAAGCCCACAGTTGAAATGAAAATGGAACGATGGAACGAAAATAAAGCGCTGGAGAATGCTACAAAACGATTGCTTAGTAACCATGCGTTTATTTGACGAGGGAAGTCTGGACACCAGAGAAGGACACAAGTAAACAAATGCTGGACTTGTGAAGACTGTATTTTACAAAACTGAATAATATATTTACAAGTAACAGGTACAGATATCTTGATATTAGAAAACGAAATTCCTTGTTTAAGCAAAAAACTATTTACATTGTACAATGTTTGAAAGTACGGCTCATAAATCTACTGAAAGCAATGATCAACGACAGGTTTCAATATGTTTAATCTTTATTTACTGAAGGTTTTCAGTTCAATTTGTGACCCCTACAAGCCAGTTTACTCCCTTTGAGAGCAATGGTCTGGTGTATAAGCCGCACCCGCGATTTTTGACTCAAAATTTCGGCAAAAAGGTGCGGCTTATACACGAGTTTTTACGGTAATTTATTAGTAAACTGATAAAAAATAGGTGTGCTTATTAGCCTGAAATGAGCATTTCAGACTACTGAGTAGTTTTTGTGTCAGGCATTCCATGTAATTCTGAAAAAGACTGGAGCATACATTTCGTTGTTGTGCATACATTGCTTTGCTGATCGATCGACACCAGTTCATTGGTCAACTTTGTTCTTTCATTTTTGTTCCATCATGAAACAACAGCAAAAGCTAAGTTCAGTTTTTATGCAAAAGAGAATGGCAGTTGAGTTTTTTGAGCATTTTTTTGTCAGCTCTTTTTGTTTTCAGAATTGTCTGTCATTCTTCAAATAACATTTTGGCTTTACGACTATAATGATTTAGGCCAATTCATACAGCTGTATTACCTGCAGTGCCAGCCTCCGTGTTGATGTTATTTTATTTTTTTCTATAAAGGAATCAAAACTGTGAAAAGCAATAAAACTATAATATACTACTGCACTAGTGATGTTTTGGATGATGTCAGTTGTTTAAGATTTCAATATCATAGTTTGATCCAGACCAATTTCCTATTATGACCCAATTTAAAATGCCATGTGGGACATTTTGACTAATTTTTTAGACTGAACACTGGAAGTCAGTGACTTGCATTAAGCCTCATTGCATGCAGATTATTGTATAGAATGTGTGGTTCCAGGAAATATCCAGACCCCCACCACGGAGGGAATTGGAAATTCCAAGGGGGTGGGGGGGTCAGAGGCCCAGGAAATTCCAAAAGGGAGGGGGGTTGGACCATAAAATCACTTTCCAGGGGGGCAATATCATTTCGTTTTCGACCTGAGTTCGAACATTGCTTCTTACCGACCTGGTAGATCATTTTAGGACATAAATAACTTGAAATATATCACTTAAGATTGTTCCTTTTGATCTTAACCAGGTTTCCTTTCTTCCAAAAGCGTTTTGGATCTAATTTCAAAGGAATTAGACCGACTACAACTCGTTTTATCGCATGCTCGTATATTCGGCCGCCATTACTGGTTACCAGTCTTCCTCAAAACATCAACGCGTGCAACACATCACGCAACACATCACGTCGCGTCAGTCGATCGATAGATCAGAAGAGTTGCAATTTTTGCGTCACGAAGCACAAGCTATACATTGTAACCACTTTAGAATGAAGAGTTTTTATTCTCCTTTTCATTTTCCCTTAATTTTGTGGTTGAACGTGTGGCATGTTCTTGATCGAATTCTCGCCGAAATGGTGTCGATTTCACCAAACATTTATACGGCCATCGCGCATCACGTCGCATCAGTCGATCGAAAAACAGTAAATTGAACTTGGTTTCCCTTCAATTACCTTCAAAATGCAGGGGGTATTCATTGTTATCATTTCAGAATTCAGAGATTTTATTCTCCCCTTTGTTTTGCATTAATTTTGTTGTCGTTTGTTTGACTTGTTCTGCATTCCCGCACGAAATGGCGTCAATTCTATCAACATTACGCCCTTTAGACGAATAACAAATCGTAAGCTTGCCCTGATTAAGGTAAATTCACAAATATAACCGACTTATTAACTTTCTCTGTTTCATTTAATGTAAGAGATGAGCAAAAATTAAAGATCAGGTTACTTTGTGGTGGTGTAGTGTGTTTTGATGTTGCGACATCACTCAAATAAATGGAAACAGAAGCATACAAGCTTCTGATGGAAACCGTTGGGTACTAACCATAAGTTGCCTCATTCTTCTACTTTAATAGTCTCTCTTTGTGAAAATGAACTTTTCCAGAGGGGTTGGGGGGTCTTTGTCACACTTGTGGAAATTCCGAAGGGGTAGGGGGTCATCAGTTCTCTGCAAAAATGGAAAATCCAGGGGGGTGGGGGGGTCCTAAGTGAAATTCCCTCCGTGGTGGGGGTCTGGATATTTGCTGGAACTACACAATATGTGCAATATATATACCTCTTCTTAACCAATAGTGAGGTCATTACAGGGAAATCTCAGACCAAGGCCTTGATGTGTTGGCCGAGCAATAGCAAGCTCAATACATCAAGGCCGAGATCTGATATTTCCCTGTAATGTCTGAATGGACGAGGGTAATATTTATTCTGTGGCCTTTTAGTGCTATAAATTAGTAGAAAACACCGAAAGTAGTTGAGCCTGCAATCAATTAGAACCAACAGCTGGTCAGAGGATAACATGTTACCTCAATGAGTTGTGCACTTGAGCCTGTGATACAGTCATGTGACACTGGTCAGTGGATACCCTTTTTTGACAGCTGCCAATTGACCATAACATGGATGTCTACTAGCAAGTTAAACACAGATAGTATACGCTTTGGACACCTATCTAATAATGCCTGGTCATTACAAGAAAATCTTGCCTGCTCAACAGCCAATCAGAGCACATGTACTATTGTAGCCATGAAATAAAATAATATTCGTCATAAGCTCTGCTTCTTGGAGATTTCCCCGCCACAGTCACTCCTTCCAAGTTGTATGCTCATTTTAAATTTGATATTAATTAACTATTTATCTTTTCCATTCTACTTGTAATTTATTCTGTGAGGCAAAATAATAAAATAAAATAAATAATATTAAACTAAATAAAATGATAAATAGAACATACAGAATTGATGCCATGGTCATATTCTTCTCACTAGCATAAGTTTTTATCAGCCATTCATTTTTGTGCTAGCACTTTGTCCCTAATGGTGACTACACGTAAGTTAAGGATAAAACAAAATTTTTTTCTGACAAAACTTTTGTCCTTTTTTAGTTGTGTCTTCAGAGCTCAAACGTGTGAATTATCAAGTTGAAGGACAAACGGCCTCAGATTCTAACTCGGCTAATAGTACCCCTGCCCCACCCAACTCAGCCTCTGTATCTCAGGTCCAAGTATCCAATCCACCAGTTATGGTTACATGCAAGTGAGTTTTTAATTACAGTGTACTGGTAATGTTAATCTGATTAATTTTTCGATGACTGTTTTACTTTGAAAGCAGTTTCCCTCCAGGTTTTCTAATTTTATTGTTTTGCCGACCAGTGAGTTCAGTCATCTCTTGCCACTGTGGGTTGTACACCTTAGCAAACACTATTTGGCCTGTCTGAAACCTGCACAGTACCAGAAGTGATCACCACCATAATTTGTGGTACTGTATAGGCTAAAGCCAAGGCTGTACTCAAGACTGAGGGCACAGTTTTTTCCTATAAAGGTTCGACCCATGGGTAGGCCAACAAATAGTGACGTTATTAAGTTTCAGAATGTGGCTCTATTTTGTGGCTTTTGACTCACTTTATAATGCACTGTTGATAGTGATCAGTAGTGTGCAGGCGCTTTGAACACTTAAACTGTGAAGATGACTACCACACAAGTATTCAAGGATTCAGTCCTTTCACAAAAACAAAAGAATGGCATGTTCTTCAACAGATCGTTTTTGTGATGTCTCTGAGTAAGAATTAGGTAGATGAATGAATGAATGATGATACCACTAAATAAAACTAAAACCGCCGTAAAATACAGAATGAACATCTTAAAATGGTTAGAAGTACAAACTAAGTCAACTTGTTTATTAATTTGCAACGGTCAAACATTGCTTTTACAAGTAATTCAAGCTGTGTAAACAAAGGCTTGTTTAATTTCATAATCTATATTTTCAACAAAATTTGGTTTAGAATCAAAGGCTGTATACATGAGAGTTTGTTTCTACTAAAACAGTAACAGTCTACTCGTTTTTGTTTTTTAAGAGTCAATAGTCAATTTGGCACTACACTCCTCATTCACTATTGACTCATAGAAAACTTGAATGTATCATGTAATAATGTTGTTACATGTAAAGAAACAATTTTATAAGTTTTTTAGGGTGTTGTCGCTAATAACCAAGTAGTAATAATTTTTTTCACGTACCAGGCTGCCTTCAGATGTGATGTATTTTGAACCACCCCAGTTAGCATATTGGGATTCAACCAAAAACAACTGGAGACTTGATGCCCTTACAGACTCACAGTACAATGAAGGTATATCGATTAAACATTCGTGAGGGTGATAAGCAATTTACCAACAAAGAGCACCAGCCTGTGTCCACCCTTTGTGGTCAGCAGTGTTCACATACACACATGTGGCCTTGAGGATCCCAAGAAGAAGAAGACGATTTATTTCACTCAGCTCCGTTTGCATGTGACACAGATTGAAAAAAAAGAGACAAATATATACAGTTACATGAGTAACAAATAAAAATTGTAGTCTCAAGATAAAGAGCTAGTTGGGATCCAAATAGCAAAGGCTAATCTAGTGGATGACCCCAAAAATACAATTACACACAGAATAATAGAATATAGTTCTTTATAAAAAGTATTTCTTCACGCCAAGGTCGATAATTAAGTGCTATTGGACTGAAAAGCGCTTAACAATTGTGAGCGTTTCTGAATGCAGTTTAGCTTGTGGTTAAAAGCTGTTCTTCTGCTGTTTGGAGAACAATTATCTGTAGAACTAAACCTGCCTTAGTTTATAACCCGAATTTGCTGAGAAACATGCAAATGAAGACGAAAACTTAAAATAATCAAAACAAAAAAGACATGAATCACCGTAATTAGCAATAATTATTATTGGATAAAGCTGAGTATGATCTGAAGAATTATGGAGATCAAGGAGTGTGTTATCTGCCAAGGCTGAAGGTCTGTTAGGACCAGGTTACCGGCTATAGGACTGGCTGCCAATAGTGGAATCTCCTTGGTCTTAGGCACCCATCCTCCTTTTAGTGAAGCTGAGTTATTAATTAAAAGCAGGAACATATGACCCTGAAGCATCTAAATTCCTCTTATTTGTTTAGAACCGCCCTGGGTTTTTTAGCTGTCCAATCGGAAGCACGGAAATTTTTTCCCAAATATGGAACCAGAGAATTTAAGGAGGGTCATATGCTTCTGTTAAAAGCTAATTAACATTCTGAAGATATCCTCATTTCAAAAAATCAATTTGGCTTTAACATTTATTTATAGAAGAACGAGTTGTTGTCTTCAAGATCTCCAACTTTGGACCTGTGGCCACCTTTCAGGTAAGTTGATGCGCTAATTGTATTAGGGTTTTTACGTCTTTCTGTGCAGCGAAAAGAAAGAGGTAGCATTGAATTATAACCCCAACTGTCACTGGCTGGTTATTGAACAAGTAGTCTTGACTATTGTAAGTATACCTTGTCAGCACTGGGGCCCATCTATTACTCTTTTCTTATCCCTTTACCTTGAAATAAAGAGGGGACCGAACCTTTATTTATGAGCTTTGATTGAGGTCTTTCTTTCTAGCCTGCTTGGCAGGCATTGGACGAGGAAGGGGAAATAAGAGCGCACTAGAGCGCGAGGGGTGCGCAAAGAGCGCACGGCCTCGTGCGCCCGAATTCCCCCTTTCTTTTCCCCTTTTAACGCTTGCGACACAGGCGACTTTTTGTCAAGTCGCTTAAAACTACTGAGTTAACTCGTTTTAAAATACATTTTGCTTAATATTTATCAGGATCTGTACTTAAACATGCCATTCCAGTCATGGGAATTACGTCCTCATGCAACAAATAGCTGTCTTTTTACTCTCATCGCAGCCATCATTGAACTAGAAATTGAAATTAAGGTATGAACTACTTTGACTTAATTGATGTAGGCTAAATCTGAATGCGAATTTCAAACAAGCACTTTTAACTCCCGTTATAATTTTGCTACCCACAGAATTCCTCAAAGTTGACTGATAAAATGATGAAACATTACGTTCCTTGACTGTAACCATTCTAGTCACAGTTGTTTGTAACACAAAGAGTCCTGATTTTTGAAGATGATTCACAACATTTTTCAGTACCTCTACTTTAATGGACCAATACTGCATCTCCATGGTGATTGATGCAAAGAAATGGCATCAAACAATGTTACTCATCGGTAAACACGAACGGTCATTTTGGACATTTCCAATTACCATAGGGATGGTATCAAGATATAGAAACGCCATTAATTTCAGCTTTCTGTGTTTATAATTCAACAACACCTACACAAACCGCATATTGTTGGACTGTAATTACTAGCAATGACAATATCTAACTTTGCGCAAGTGAGTGCACTGACCTTGAATTTTTGAACATTTAAGGTGGCTCCAAATTCATTTAGGACCAGACAAATTACTAAACTCTCTTTTTCGTATTCTTATAGCCTGTGTAGCAACCATTTCTTTGCTAGCAGTCACAAGAGCACAATGTGGGGACTGGGAAGGGGTAACGGAAAATTGCCAGAACATTTTTCGGATAAGAGGGAAAAATCCTGGCAACGTTGCATACTCTATTATGAATAGCGAGTTTTAAGCAATAAGCTTAAAGTGTAGTGTTAGAAACTTAGATATCTATGTACACATTTATTAATCCTAATGTAGGACTCTATGTGTGCTCTGACGCAGCCGGGTGATGTCCCTGAGCTAACTGACCTGAGAGGCAAGTGGATGAAACCACAACAGTTAATTGAGGTAAAAACTCCTTGGTCTGCTGGATAATGATCCTCTTATGAACGGTCTTTGATATGCAATGATAGCTATGAGATGTGATGGGGAATTTTGAGCCTCTGAATACATGAGAAAGATGTTTTTCAGTCAGTGATATGGGCGGCTCGGAGGAAATATTCCAAATACTCCCAATAGGGAGTCGACCCTATAACCCTTTGGTTACTTGTCCAGATGCTCTACCACTAAGCTACCGGGGACCCTTAGGGAGCTAAGGCCACTAAACTAGGTTCATGTGACAAACATCCTGCATACTGCTAGGACTAGAATGAGAATGTCGACATGTGCTTATGCGCAACGATTGATTTGATGGTCAATTTTTATTTATTTGTTTATTTTTTATTTCTTTTAGACTTTTGATTCTTTGTTATTGCGTGATCACTGGTGTATGACTAAGTTAGTTTAAACATTTGTCAACTCTTTCTAGGCTATGCAAAAGGCTGGTGTGAACGTGTTTCCTGCGGTGGATGCAGAAAAATATGTCAGCATAAACTCCAAGGTGCATTTATGTCTTAATTATTAGAGCTTGACTAACACACATAATGATTGCGAGTGCTTTTCGTAAATCACTTGCTATTTTGTTGACTCTAATGTGCAGTTTTTCTCGCTATCAGGAGGAATGGTTAGAAGGCAGTATTTATAAAGAAATGGCATTAACAGCATCAGCATTTGCATATACGTGGAGTAAGTGGAATGCTGACTGTGGCAAGGACAAAATTATCTTGCAAGCTATTGAGCAGTTACAGGATGAACAACCTCTGGAGGTAAATAATCTCATGCCCAGATCATGGGATACAACCCTAAAAATACAAAAGTTTGAAAGATCATTGAATGGTTTCCTTCGAGCAAGCTCTCCATTTCGACTGGCGAGCCACGCGAGAACGCGTCTGCTCTGCCACTCGCGCGTGGCTTCTCACGATGGATTGTTCAGTTGCTTTTTAGTGTCCTTATGTATTCTTTGTCGCTTTTGTTAAACAAAAACTGAATTAAACTTAAGCGTAATTGGCTTTTTTTTTCATCGTGAAGGAGGATTGGTCGTTGTACAATATTGGTACACATAGCTCTTGGAAGCTACGAATGAAAGAAGAGGACAGTGAACTTTCTGAGGATGTGGCTGAAAATACACAGGTAATAAAGTCTATCGTATACTTTGTCACTATATATTTACTTAGAATTTTGTCCCTGTTGCATGATTAAACGTCTGGAAATGGAAATGATGGTAGTAGTATTTTGGGTCGGCCAGGATTTTTGGATATATTGTATATAAGGGGAATCTTAAACTGGGTATCAGTATCTTTCGGCTCAGTTTAGAACTATTTTCAGGTATAAGGCACATCACGCTTCTTTGACTTTTGTATGGGTATATTGAAAAATATGTTGGGGAATGTTGAATATTTTGGGGGGGTATACTGCTATACCAGATATACCAATACCACTCCTGGCTGACCCATTGAAAGAATGCCACAAAGATAGGGCGAGACAAATTTCATTCCTTAGTCGGAATCAAACCTCACCGTAACGGACCGATGATGACTTCTGCCGAGTTGTCGATACTTCAGGCACTGTCATATCCTAAACAAATAGTTATCCTCATTCCTGTAAAGAGGTACACCGCTTCACTATTCGGTCTATCTAAAATGATGACTTCTGGGTTCAAACCATTTACTTATCGAATTGTTTCTTGGCTTTTTCTAGCTTCACTCCGATCTCTATCATATGGTGTTGGATGGAGCTTCAGAGGAAGCACAGCAAAGAGTTAAAGACTCGCACTTCTTATTTATTGACTGTGTGTATCAGTTGTTAAATGCAACAAAAGTAATCACATACTCATAACTAAAATGGGTTTGTCGTGTAAATAGCTCTCCGCTTAACGTATAACCTTCCTCTGAATCAGAGCTCGTTGTACAGTTTCAAGTTCGGTATGGTATGTTAGGTCTATAAGGAAGATGGTAGCCGTGTAGTAATAATCACTTTTATCAGTTGGAATACAAAATATGTTTGCATTGTCGAGAATTCTTTTCAACGCCAATGTACCTTTTACTGTATTTAGTCCGTTGTAGATCTTAAGATAGTTTGCCTCTCGTGTTTGTAAAAAGGGTGTTTTTTTAATTACTGAAGCTGCAGAAGCAATCATAATTTGTAAGTATTTAGTGACTGACTGCTTCTCGACGGCAATAAAAGATTTTTAAAAATTATGTCCAATGAACGTCATGCTTTGTAGACAGAACGTTTGGTATTTGGGGTTTGATACTAGTGGCAGAGTTTAAGTATGATAAACAAAAATGTACAGTTAATCGCCTTTATTTTTTGTAAAGAATCTTATTGCACGTCATTCTGTCATACTAATAAAACATAATCTCTGTACACAGTGCACTGGAACTTTTTCCTTTTGTTCACATTTAAAAGGCGATGTTCCAAAGTACATTCATTTTTCTTCAATATAAACAACAGTCTTCAAGTTTCATGAAGTGAATTGCTTAATAATTTACATACTTTTCACGTAACCTTTTTAACTAGGAAAGAGTTAAAGGTGTTTGAATATTGTTTAAATTTATCGACTTATACTTGTGCAAGCATGCTTTGAAGAGACCTTCGGACACTTGAGAAGTCCTGTTGTTGCTAAAGAAATGAAAAGAGAAAGTCAGTGTTAAGGGTTGAGCAAACAGAAACCTATGCTTCTTTGAAGGAGCCTCGTCACAAGCTACTGATATTATTTTGACACCATAAAAACTCTTGATTCTACGAAATTTGCCAAATAAATGTTCAGTTTTGTTTCAAAACATTTCTCATGCTTGTAACTGTTTGTCTTGGGTTCAGGTAACTAGGATAGAAATGGAGTGCAACTTGAAATATTAAGCCATCTTTTTAAAGCTTGTTGTTGAGAAATTCAGTACTAAAAACGTATCATGCTTTGTTGCCCCTTTGAGAGAAACCCTTAATTCCTCATGCATCGAACTCTCACATGGGAAAGAAAAGGAAGACTGAGGAGTACTTAGTATTCACTTTATGTCAGTATTGCTCCAAAAATCTAGAAGTCACCGTGACGTCGCCCCTTAAACGTCTTACCGTATCAGTGAGTATCTTTTTCTGTAGCATGTTGATTTCCTTCCTCAGTTGCTCCTGGACAGTAACTTGTTGAGCTTCATGCCTTTTCTGCAAATCTTGTAAGTTCTTGGTATGATCTTCAAGCAGCTGACGAACCCTTTTGAGTCTTTGGCTCTGGACAATGCGCTGCTGCTGAAAAAGCTTCTGTTGTTGTTTGTACAGGTTCTTAGGACAAAATTGACATCGGAACAACGTTAATAGATTGTAAAAGTTTAAATCCCAACACCAACCGACCTTAGATCCAGGTATTCTTTCCAGAGCCCGTATTCCCTGAAAATCAATCAGTCTCTATTTATCGCCAGAATTTGTGTTGTTATGGAGTTTTAAAATGATTGGCTTCTGGAATACCATTGCCCAGATCACGTGTGATTTTGATATTAAAGCGCATTTTAAGCTTCTGATACAAGATCTGTAAGCAGTTAGCGATCCTAAATTAACTGCAGAATTTTTTCGCGTATTTCTGTTACCTCTAGTTTCTCCTCTGCCTCTCTTGTCTTTTGCAAATCTGTCTCTCCCTGGGTTATAACGTTCATGAGTTGCTTGCTGAATTCATCGTAGTGACTGCTTCTGGTGGACAAGATAAGTAGCAGCTGTCAGTGATGCAGCGCTCATTAAATATCATGCAGGAAGGCTGACCACGTAAACCATCTGATATTCAGTTCAAAGTCCTCCAGGCCCAGCCGGTCCCCTACTTTTACTGTGTCTAACCAAAAAAAAGATTACGTTTCTCTCACCGTTCACGTTGCTGTGTATGCCAGACTTCGTCAAATTTTCTACTGCTTGCCTTAAGGGATGCTTGTGTAAATGTTTGTATTCTCTTTCGCTTGGCAGTTAAAGTCTTTGTGATGTCAGCTGGAAAAAAAATTACGAGAAAGAGAATGCTTCACTAGCAATGCCTCAGACGGAACTGGCAATACGTTTTTTAAAATCTTACAACATTCCTGACCTCCAAAGCTGTTCAGTATTCCTTGCATTTCAAGGTCACTTCTAAAAAGAAGATGAAAGGAAAGATCAGAACAAAGTACTGCATTTCATATCCTCGTTTATACCGGTTAAAAGTGAAGTGGGAGCAGGAAGGAAAGAAAGAGAGAAGGTATGCTGCATTTTAAGTTAATAACTTAGATGCTGATATTGTTATATCAGCAACAATCATTAAATGATCCGTTTTGTTTCTTTGTTTCTTTTCTAAAACTTCATGTAATTAGCCTGAAATTCATCCGATTGCTTCGAGACGTTTTCTCCTGAGGGAGTAATAACGACTCGAAGTAATCGGATGAAATTCAGGCTATCATGTAATTCCCTCTTTCCTTTCCCCTTTTAACGCTTGCGACACAGGCGACTTTTTGTCAAGTCGCTTAAAACTACTGAGTTAACTCGTTTTAAAGTACATTTTGCTTAATATTTATCAGGATCTGTACTTAAACATGCCATTCCAGTCATGGGAATTACGTCCTCATGCAACAAATAGCTGTCTTTTTACTCTCATCGCAGCCATCATTGAACTAGAAATTGAAATTAAGGTATGAACTACTTTGACTTAATTGATGTAGGCTAAATCTGAATGCGAATTTCAAACAAGCACTTTTAACTCCATTTATAATTTTGCTACCCAGAGAATTCCTCAAAGTTGACTGATAAAATGATGAAACATTACGTTCCTTGACTGTAACCATTCTAGTCACAGTTGTGTGTAACAGAAAGAGTCCTGATTTTTTAAGATGATTCACAACGTTTTTCAGTACCTCTACTTTAATGGACCAATACTGCATCTCCGTGGTGATTGATGCAAAGAAATGGCATCAAACAATGTTACTCATCGGTAAACACGAACGGTCATTTTGGACATTTCCAATTACCATAGGGATGGTATCAAGATATAGAAACGCCGTTAATTTCAGCTTTCTGTGTTTATAACTCAACAACACCTACACAAACCGCATATTGTTGGACTGTAATTACTAGCAATGACAATATCTAACTTTGCGCAAGTGAGTGCACTGACCTTGAATTTTTGAACATTTAAGGTGGCTCCAAACCCATTTAGGACCAGACAAATTACTAAACTCTCTTTTTCGTATTCGTATAGCTTGTGTAGCAACCATTTCCTTGCTAGCAGTCACAAGAGCAAAATGTGGGGACTGGGGAGGGGTAACGGAAAATCAGAAATGCCAGAACATTTTTCGGATAAGAGGGAAAAATCCTGGCAACGTTGGATACTCTATTATGAATAGCGAGTTTTAAGCAATAAGCTTAAAGTGTAGTGTTAGAAACTTAGATATCTATGTACACATTTATTAATCCCAATGTAGGACTCTATGTGTGCTCTGACGCAGCCGGGTGATGTCCCTGAGCTAACTGACCTGAGAGGCAAGTGGATGAAACCACAACAGTTAATTGAGGTAAAAACTCCTTGGTCTGCTGGAAAATGATCCTCTTGATATGCAATGATAGCTATGAGATGTGATGGTGAATTTTGAGCCTCTGAATACATGAGAAAGATGTTTTTCAGTCAGTGATATGGGCGGCTCGGAAGAAATATTCCAAATACTCCCAATAGGGAGTCGACCCTATAACCCTTTGGTTACTTGTCCAGATGCTCTACCACTAAGCTACCGGGGACCCTTAGGGAGCTAAGGCCACTAAACTAGGTTCATGTGACAAACATCCTGCATACTGCTAGGACTAGAATGAGAATGTCGACATGTGCTTATGCGCAACGATAGATTTGATGGTCAATTTTTATTTATTTGTTTATTTTTTATTTCTTTTAGACTTTTGATTCTTTGTTATTGCGTGATCACTGGTGTATGACTAAGATAGTTTAAACATTTGTCAACTCTTTCTAGGCTATGCAAAAGGCTGGTGTGAACGTGTTTCCTGCGGTGGATGCAGAAAAATATGTCAGCATAAACTCCAAGGTGCATTTATGTCTTAATTATTAGAGCTTGACTAACACATATAATGATTGCGAGTGCTTTTCGTAAATCACTTGCTATTTTGTTGACTCTAATGTGCAGTTTTTCTCGCTATCAGGAGGAATGGTTAGAAGGCAGTATTTATAAAGAAATGGCATTAACAGCATCAGCATTTGCATATACGTGGAGTAAGTGGAATGCTGACTGTGGCAAGGACAAAATTATCTTGCAAGCTATTGAGCAGTTACAGGATGAACAACCTCTGGAGGTAAATAATCTCATGCCCAGATCATGGGATACAACCCTAAAAATACAAAAGTTTGAAAGATCATTGAATGGTTTCCTTCGAGCAAGCTCTCCATTTCGACTGGCGAGCCACGCGAGAACGCGTCTGCTCTGCCACTCGCGCGTGGCTTCTCACGATGGATTGTTCAGTTGCTTTTTAGTGTCCTTATGTATTCTTTGTCGCTTTTGTTAAACAAAAACTGAATTAAACTTAAGCGTAATTGGCTTTTTTTTTCATCGTGAAGGAGGATTGGTCGTTGTACAATATTGGTACACATAGCTCTTGGAAGCTACGAATGAAAGAAGAGGACAGTGAACTTTCTGAGGATGTGGCTGAAAATACACAGGTAATAAAGTCTATCGTATACTTTGTCACTATATATTTACTTAGAATTTTGTCCCTGTTGCATGATTAAACGTCTGGAAATGAAAATGATGGTAGTAGTATTTTGGGTCGGCCAGGATTTTTGGATATATTGTATATAAGGGGAATCTTAAACTGGGTATCAGTATCTTTCGGCTCAGTTTAGAACTATTTTCAGGTATAAGGCACATCACGCTTCTTTGACTTTTGTATGGGTATATTGAAAAATATGTTGGGGAATGTTGAATATTTTGGGGGGGTATACTGCTATACCAGATATACCAACACCACGCCTGGCTGACCCATTGAAAGAATGCCACAAAGATAGGGCAAGACAAATTTCATTCCTTAGTCGGAATCAAACCTCACCGTAACGGACCGATGATGACTTCTGCCGAGTTGTCGATACTTCAGGCACTGTCATATCCTAAACAAATAGTTATCCTCATTCCTGTAAAGAGGTACACCGCTTCACTATTCGGTCTATCTAAAATGATGACTTCTGGGTTCAAACCATTTACTTATCGAATTGTTTCTTGGCTTTTTCTAGCCTCACTCCGATCTCTATCATATGGTGTTGGATGGAGCTTCAGAAGAAGCACAGCAAAGAGTTAAAGACTCGCACTTCTTATTTATTGACTGTGTGTATCAGTTGTTAAATGCAACAAAAGTAATCACATACTCATAACTAAAATGGGTTTGTCGTGTAAATAGCTCTCCGCTTAACGTATAACCTTCCTCTGAATCAGAGCTCGTTGTACAGTTTCAAGTTCAGTATGGTGTGTTAGGTCTATAAGGAAGATGGTAGCCGTGTAGTAATAATCACTTTTATCAGTTGGAATACAAAATATGTTTGCATTGTCGAGAATTCTTTTCAACGCCAATGTACCTTTTACTGTATTTAGTCCGTTGTAGATCTTAAGATAGTTTGCCTCTCGTGTTTGTAAAAAGGGTGTTTTTTTAATTACTGAAGCTGCAGAAGCAATCATAATTTGTAAGTATTTAGTGACTGACTGCTTCTCGACGGCAATAAAAGATTTTTAAAAATTATGTCCAATGAACGTCATGCTTTGTAGACAGAACGTTTGGTATTTGGGGTTTGATACTATTGACAGAGTTTAAGTATGATAAACAAAAATGTACAGTTAATCGCCTTTATTTTTTGTAAAGAATCTTATTGCACGTCAAGGTCATACTAATAAAACATAATCTCTGTACACAGTGCACTGAAACTTTTTCCTTTTGTTCACATTTAAAAGGCGATGTTCCAAAGTACATTCATTTTTCTTCAATATAAACAACAGTTTTCAAGTTTCATGAAGTGAATTGCTTAATAATTTACATACTTTCCACGTAACCTTTTTAACTAGGAAAGAGTGAAAGGTGTTTGAATATTGTTCAAATTTATCGACTTATACTTGTGCAAGCATGCTTTGAAGAGACCTTCGCACACTTGAGAAGTCCTGTTGTTGCTAAAGAAATGAAAAGAGAAAGTCAATGTTAAGGGTTGAGCAAACAGAAACCTATGCTTCTTCCTGAATGTTTCAATATCGGAGATGCTTGAAGGAGCCTTGTCACAAACTACTGATATTATTTTGACACCCTTAAAACTCTTGATGCTACGAAATTTGCCAAGTAACTGTTCAGTTTTGTTTCAAAACATTTCTCTTGCTAAGCTATGTAAGTGTGTGTCTTGGGTTCAGGTAACTAGGATAGAAATGGCGTGCAACTTGAAATATTAAGCCATCTTTTTAAAGCCGGTTGTTGAGACATTCAATACTAAAAACGTATCATGCTTTGTTGCCCCTTTGAGAGAAACCCTGAATTCCTCATGCATCGAACTCTCAAATGGGAAAGAAAGGAAGACTGAGGAGTACTTAGTATTGACTTTGTAACAGTTCTGCTCCAAAAATCTAGAAGTCACCATGACGTCGCCCCTTGAACGTCTTACCGTATCAGTGAGTATCTTTTTCTGTAGCATGTTGATTTCCTTCCTCAGTTGCTCCTGGACAGTAACTTGTTGAGCTTCATGACTTCTCTGCAAATCTTGTAAGTTCTTGGTATGATCTTCAAGCAGCTGACGAACCCTTTTGAGTCTTTGGCTCTGGACAATGCGCTGCTGCTGAAAAAGCTTCTGTTGTTGTTTGTACAGGTTCTTAGGACAAAATTGACATCGGAACAACGTTAATAGATTGTAAAAGTTTAAATCCCAACACCAACCGGCCTTAGATCCAGGTGTTCTTTCCAAGGCAGGTATTCCCTGAGAATCAATCGGTCTCTATTTATCGCCAGAATTTGTGTTGTTCTGGAGTTTTAAAATGATTGGCTTCTGGAATACCATTGCCCAGAACTCGTGTGACTTTGATATTAAAGCGCATTTAAGCTTCTGATACAAGATTTGTAAGCAGTTAGCGATCCTAAATTAATTGTAGCAATTTCTCGCGTATTTCTGTTACCTCTAGTTTCTCCTCTGCTTCTCTTGTCTTTTGCAAATCTGTCTCTCCCTGGGTTATAACGTTCATGAGTTGCTTGCTGAATTCATCGTAGTGACTGCTTCTGGTGGACAAGATAAGTAGCAGCTGTCAGTAATGCAACGCTCATTTAATATTATGCCGGAAGGCTGATCAAGTAAACCATCTGATATTCAGTTCAAAATCCTTCAGGCCCAGCCGGTCCTCTACTTTTACCGTGTCTAACAAAAAAAAAGATTACGTTTCTCTCACCGTTCACGTTGCTGTGTATGCCAGACTTCGTCAAATTTTCTACTGCTTGCCTTAAGGGATGCTTGTGTAAATGTTTGTATTCTCTTTCGCTTGGCAGTTAAAGTCTTTGTGATGTCAGCTGGAAAAAAATGACGAGAGAGAGAATGCTTAACTAGCAATGCCTCAGACGGAACTGGCAATACGTTTTTTAAAATCTTATAACATTCCTGACCTCCAAAGCTGTTCAGTATTCCTTGCATTTCAAGGTCACTTCTAAAAAGAAGATGAAAGGAAAGATCAGAACAAAGTACTGCATTTCATATCCTCGTTTATACCGGTTAAAAGTGAAGTGGGAGCAGGAAGGAAAGAAAGAGAGAAGGTATGCTGCATTTTAAGTTAATAACTTAGATGCTGATATTGTTATATCAGCAACAATCATTAAATGATCCGTTTTGTTTCTTTGTTTCTTTTCTAAAACTTCATGTAATTAGCCTGAAATTCATCCGATTGCTTCGAGTCGTTTTCTCCTGAGGGAGTAATAACGACTCGAAGTAATCGGATGAAATTCAGGCTATCATGTAATTCCCTCTATTTGATTCGATTAATGAGCTGCTATGAAAACGTATGAGCCAGGGTGTAAGATTTTTAGAGTGGTTTAAAATCACTGAAATGTATTTCCCAAATTTCAAGATAACTCTTTAACACCAAAGTTGAAGAACCGTCGTGACTTTCCTGGTTACCAAGATGTCTTTATACCTTACGAAACCGTGAGATTTTTCTTTTCTAACTTTTATGTCCAGAGCAAATCTGTATGAGCTGGCTCTAAGCCAAATTTACATGAAATGGGAAAGTGGTCCGAAAGTGTACCCGTGATTCATGTTTACAGTGCAGCTATGAAACGATAGTGGAATTACATACGATTTAACAAAATGTCAGTCTTTAAACCTTAAAGAACACGTGAGATTTTCTTTAAAATTTATTCCGAAACAAAGCTGTCTGAGACAGCTCTAAGCCATATTTACATCATTGAAATGGGAAAGTGGTCCGGTCGAGATGTTCCCACTGATGTGGTATCTACATGAGTGCAGTTATGAAACGACAGTAGAATTACATACGATTTGTCACCGTAATCATCTTCTGGGTCAGAATCTTGGAAATCATCCGCTGGTGTCATGGCTTGTCTCTTCTTGGACTTGACCACAGGAACATTAGCTTTCTGTTGATGCTGTTGTTGTTCAGATTTCACTGACGATGCTAAAAAATAAAAAGTTATTTTATGTGGGGATAAATGTTAAATGAATTTTAGGGAAAAAATGGCATTTTTCTGAGGGTTTAACTAAATGCAAAGAAAGTCGTCCCCTATTTGATGCCAAGCTGTAGCTAGCATGTAATAGCCCAGCAGTCATTTCAACTAGCCGAAAAAAAATTTGAAGTGCATGACCAGAAGCACGTGTGCTTCTGGTAGGACCGATTACAGTTTTACAATAATTGGAGTTCCCTCCCCAAAAAGAATTAACTCGCCTGTCGGGCAAGTTAAGAACATAATGTACTAACCTGATAGCAAAATCCATTAACTCTGGGTATCGGACAGGACTTTCTTTGCACGCTGGGTTTGAAAAATTTCAAAGTCCTTCATCCATAGGGGGTGTGTGTATTTAATGGAATGGTCCTAAGCCTTAATTTTATACCATGGCTTAGACAGGATTAAACGACATTTTCTTGAAGCGTTCAAGGCTTACGTTTAGCATACCAAACCAGTGATTAGTACTCGTTAGAAACTGCGTTTTTCATAAACTATTATTAAACTTGAACCTAAACCTGAGCCAGTGTGAATTGTGACTTCAGCATATATGAGCTTAATCTTTAATTAAATGCAGATATAAAGGGAATTTTTAATGATTTTTTTCCCTAAAATTCCCCACATTTGTCTTATGGAAGCGATTACTTAACTTTAAGTCCATTTTAGCTTATTAAACTGTGAAAAAAGGCTTACCTTCATGAAACTTAAACTCGTCGTCATTCTCGTAAAAGTCCTTTAGATTTTCTGAACACTTCAGTGTTTTTCCTTTCTTCGGATTAGAAGGCATTATGGCCCGGTTTTGTTTACGGTGAGAGGGATGCCTAAAAATAATACTGTAAACTACTCCGGATTAAACAACAAAACTTCAACCATTTTATTCGTTTCGGCAGTTTTTAGGAGTGAAAAGCTTTAAGCTTCCGCAAAGCTTAAAGTAATTTTACATCAAGTATGCCGAAGAGAACAAAATGATATAGTTAATATCAAAAATACAGATTTAAAAAATGTACTTTACCTCTTGTTATCCCTTGCAGAGGGAAAGTTAGAAAAGCAAACCAAAATTTGATGCAACGATAGCCCCGTCGGCGATTGAGAATTTTTTTCCTGAGCCTAGCCGTCAGCCTAGCCTTGCTTTCCCGCTGTTTTGAACACTGCGCCCGCGTCATTTTGGCGCCAAAAAAGAGTCGGACCGCATACATGACACAGATCTACAGTCACACTGACAGGTGCGATCTCGGGGCATTTTCTAAAAAAAGACCCGCGATTATCGACAGTAATATTTCGGAAAGGGTAAAGGGCCTTTCTGAACTATGTGACTGCAAAATATAATCTAATCCTAACCGTCATGCAAGGTGCCTAATGTATCACACACTGAAACCCTCAGTTATGCACCTCAGACGACTTCTGGTAAAAAAAAGCTTTACTGTTTGTCAGGTTGATTGCTTCACCTAACCCGTCACCAACAAGCATTCAGCATTCTACAAGGCACGAACATTTTGAAGAAATAACGACTATAGAAATCCACTGAAAGCGGGTGGTCGTCAGTCATAAAAATAAGGAGGCTGTTTTTTTTCAGGATCCGGGATTTTCCCTTAATTAAAGCTTGGGATTCGGGATTTCGGGGCAAGATTAGGGATTGAAAGTAGGCGTGCGAAGTGGGATGCCATTGGAATTATGGGATTGCACTAAATTTTGGGTCGGGATACCGGGATTGAAGAACCCTAATGGGGTCGACCCTCAATAACGGAGCTGTAGAGTAAGGGAACCACTTGACTTTTCCTCAGACCAAAAAAAAAGTGTTGGTATGGCGTCCATACGTTAGTACAGTCTATACTATCGCGTCCTGACAGGTTGCCTTTTTACACATGGTACGCTAATATTTTATTGTTCTCTAATTATTTGAAAGAGGTGCCTATGAACTACAGTGGAACCTCGCTATAACGAAGGGCCAAGAGACTGGAAAAATTTGTTCGTTATAACGAGGTTTCGTTATTTCGTTGTACCTGATGAGTGTGGTCATCTTTTGGCCACTCGAAACAGAGCTGTGGTAATAAAACGATGCACTACCTCTGAAGTCTTGAACCAGTTTATTATATATTGAGGTTCTTTTTCATATATTTTGCTGTTACTGGGGTAAAAAAATTCGTTCGTCACACCTAGGACTTCTTTATATAGAGGTTCGTTAAATTGAGTTTCCACTGTACACAAAACTAATGCACTCCCACTATGAAAAGCTATTTAACGGTTGAACCTTTTCAGTCAGGATAATTTCTTTTTCCTCCCAGACCACATCTTATAGCAAAGCTTCTTTACAACAGAGAACGGAAACACAATGGGCCAGTTATCTCTTACACGGAGTTTAGCCTGTGTTTAACAAAACCGCGTTCTAAGCCATTTTATCGCGCACAGTTTCATGAAAACATTTAGCGTAGACTAGAAAAAAATTTCTGTTCTCAAAATAACGCACTAAGGAAGAGATCTGGAGATCCAAAGATTTCCTAAACCGCGGTCTAAGTCAGACTTTGTTTAAATAATTCCAATTTTAAAGAATTCCAATGTTCTGCGCGCACCATATCAGGGGCGGATCTAGGGGGAGGGTGCAGGGGGTCTGCACCCTCCCCTGAGATGACCTGCGGTTTTCTAATACAATAATTGTATTAATTGTATTATTGGTATTCTGCTTAAAAAAAAAAAAAATCTATGTGGTTTATTGGTGTTGAACTAGAGCAAGAGACGAGTGCACCCCCTCCTAAAAAAACTCCTGGATCCGCCCCTGCATATTAGGGAGCTTTAGCGACGCACATCAACCGGAAGTGCAGCCTTAGGTTCCCTTTTAATACGCCTTGTCGCTCCCAAATTTGTATTGCTATAAAGTGTCATAACCCTTAGAGATGGTCTACCCAAACATTTACTCGCCTGAATTTCATCCGATTACTTCGAGTCGTCATTACTCCCTCAGTAACGTACATTGTTGAGAGAAGGAAACGACTCGAAGCAATCGGATGAATTTCAGGCTAAACTTTTACACCACTGCACAAGGAATGCAAAAAGTCCACTTCAGGTTGACGGGCGTTTGAGCTCCCTAGCCACGAGACCAAGTTTTCTCTATGTCGTTTTAATACTGTTCATTACCTCTACCTCAAAGTTAGTAGCTTCAGGTTAGTTTTGTCTATAACAATTGTTTTGGTCTGTTTTTAGCTGCACGTTTTCTGTTTTGAGAAATCTCAACCTGAATCTGACGTTTGCTGTTCGCCGAGAACGTCACGCGGCTAAATCTCTGAAAACGTAGATCTACACAGCAGTCACAGCAGGCACGTTTACGACCTTCAGGAAGTCCTTCACTGCTTGAGTGTACTCTTTGTTATGGACATAAAAATGTGAAACATGAGGCGAACTATCAAAACATACATAATTCACGCTCATGTTCAGTTTTTCTTTCCAATAGTCCGCACAAGCTTGGCACGTCTTGACATCCGCGATCTTGTCATCCTTGGAGAACAGAAACAACGCTGGCGACCGTACAGGATTGTTGTGGAATAACTGCGAATGCGCCACGTAAACCTTGCTCGTGTACTTGGCGAAGATCGTCAAGTACGACTCAATAGATGACTTCATCAGCCAGCGGATAAACGGGTTTTGCGAGGCCGCGTTTGAAACACCATAGGGAATCCCATCGAAATCCACCGGGGAGTCAAAGACTTGACCGAGGATTCTCTCTTTGACTGGTGAGAACTTGTCCAATTTTTCCATTAAATTGAGCACATGGCTGTAGAGGTACCCACCCACTGAGAAACCATGGACTAATACCGGTCTGTTTTTGTTCTCTGGCGACGTTAGTTGGTTTAGAACTTTGGTGGCGACCATTTCTGCTTTTTGTGGACGTAGAATCTGAGGACACACACACAGAAAGAATTAGTTGGACCTCCACTTAAACAAACTTTAAAATAACTTTTTCTCTTTCTCAAAAAAGCAAGCGAGCAAGCACTAGAAAGCAAGTCACAATAGATTACGCATGTTTATGGCAGGCAAGCAAATTTCAGCACCAAGCCTCGTTTTCAAATGGTCAAGTTGAGAAGTGTAGCCTGAATTTTAGCCGTCTCAGAATCGAGTCGCAAACTCCCGAGAGCGGACAAGAGACTAATCACAATGAAAGAAAAAGAGGCTACTTTTAACCCCGGGGGAACTACCATGTAAAAGTGACGGTAATGTCTGTTTCAGTATGGTCTGCTTTAGCGAACCAGTTTAAGCTTGAGCCACACCCACATTGGTCTCCCTTAGGGGTTTAATTTTAATTTTTCAACGAGCATAGCCTGCGAAAACATCCTTTTCTCCTCGCTCTTTCGCAGGAAACGTCCCCAGAGGCGAAGAGCGAGGAGAAATGGATGTTTTTGCAGGCTACAACGAGCATCCCTGTCACTTTTATATGGGAGTTCCCCCCCCAAGGCTTTTAACTGACTCGGTTAAAAACTGCTGCTTATACATTTAATGTGGTTGAACATTTTGCGAGAAACAAGAATTTAGGCGATTGAAACTTATAGATTTTCGGCTTTTTCCTCGGCTGAACCTACCTCCATGACTTCAAGTTTGACAGTGATAACATCTGCGCCATGTTGGTGATACAGCTCACCGTACTTGTGTAGATGACGACTTTTTGCCAGAAGCCATCCAAAGAGAACTACCAATGGACGAACCTCACCTTCTTTCTTAAATCCCTCGGGACAAGGGAGAAACTCTAAACTCCTCAAGACTGAGCTACAGTGAAGGTGCCTGGCTCCCAACAGCCATAGAGTCTTTGAAAAGGTACTCTGTAAAATAACAGACGAAGTTAAAGTGATTTTCTTAATGACCTTAACACATAGAATATTTATTATAGTTCTGAATGGTTACAAGTAAACAAAAGAAAACAATGACATTAGGGTGCAATGTTGCATAGAAGTCGCCGCGATTTACGGGAATTCAAGACAGCCTTGGATACTGGATTCCATGCCCTGGATTCCAGATTCCAGGTACTGGATTCCAGTTTTTGTTGGTGGAACTTGGATTCTGGATTCCAATTGACGGGATTCCGGATTCCTTGAGCTGTATTCTGGATTCCAAAGCCTAGGGTTCAGATTCCAAAATAAAAATTTTCCCAGCTTCTGGATTCCAAAAGCAAAACTTTCCCGGGATCTGGATTCTCTTATATGGGGCAAATAGTAGCCTTCTGCCTGTATCACAGGTTAATATATTAAAATCACTATATTGATCTATCTAATACTATTCCATTACCATGCTTGAACACTGAAGGAAGAAAAAAACAGAGCTGAGAAAATTGGAAGGCTATGGATTTGAAGTTTGAATTTTTGACAAAAGAAATAATCACATTATCTAAATCTGAGAAAAAATGGCTCCTTCTCAAAAATTGGTTCTATTATCAAACATGGAGTACCGCAAAAGTGATGTGTTAAATCTTCTCAGAACCACTGCAGAAACCAAGAATGATCAATTAATGTGCTCAATATTGGATCAATACAGATCACCTTTTGTAGAACTGATCAACATCAAAATTCATCAGGTTTATTTGGAGTAAGTATAAATTTACAAGAATATCAAAACTAAAAAAAACTAAATAAACTAAATCTGTTGGCAGTCAAAAAAAATAATCATTGATTTATTTATAGCTACATGTACCATCTGTTCACATTGTTTTACTGACTCATAAAGTACTCGTTTTGACAAATGATTACACTGAACGCACTCACACGCAAGTTATTTAAAGTAGAAATATATTAAATCAGAAAGCCCACAAATAGGGAGAACTACTGCACGCAAAAGCAACGTGAGCAAAATGATTGACTTCTGCGATAGCGCTGTAAAATCACTAAGGCCCCCCAAGACCACCCCACATACGATTAGTGGTGGAGACCGCTCGTCAGCATTGTCTGATGTTTAACCTCGCCAAAATTACATTTAACCACATTTATACAAATCCTGCCACAAAGTTGACATACACATGACCCGAAATTAAAGGCATTGGAAAACATCACCTGAGGGCTGTCGCTTAAATTTCAAGTTACCGGGTACGTGCAATAATAAGGGAATTGTACAGCTAGGAAGTTCTTTCGGTTCTATTTTCTTTTTGTTTCCTATAAGAGTTGCCAGAGCTCACACTCATTGTAGCAGGGGAAAATCCCCAGCCCCACGACACTAAGGGGCAGCCCTGCATCACAATAATTGCAGTTCTGTTAGTCCTGTACTGGTCCATAGTTGTCAAATTTTGTTGAAAAACTCGACGAAAGCTGAGGATTTTTCTGAACTGACATACGTAAATTTTCTTTAAGTGTACTCCTTCTCTCTTTTCCCGCTGTAAATACTCATAGTTTTTGCAAAAGGGTAAAACACAAATCAAAATTGAGGAGGGCGTGACCCATGAGTGGTCATGCAGACTTTTCAGAGAGTTTCAACCAATGAGAGTTATGAGATATCTTTGGGTAAAATTCAGGCAGTTTTAAGAAAAGATTTCTTCCACTAATTGATTGAAAAGTTCCACAAGACAGCTGCGACATGACCTTTTCGATATGGCAGTGAATGGACGACCGGGTGACTATATCGTTGCGTGACTATATCGTTCTTCTCATGTTACCCGATGCTGTACTTTTAGAGCCTAGTAGCGTTCAACTCAACAGACTAAAATTACCGAATTTCTTCTACATTATCAGATCCATTGTGGTAGTACGAAACCTTCTGCATATTAAGATATGATAAACATGAGCTCACACCACGCCGTCATGTATGTCTTCAGCTAATTATGCACGATGTCAAATAAAAACAAATACCGGTTAAATTATAAAACCTAAACGATCGGGTTATTTTTATGCCTGTCTGTTTACAGTCATCTTTCTGTAACACCGAAAATTTAAAAAAAAACCGAGTTGGTAACCCTGTTTGGCGTTAAAATGAGTTCTATAAAGCCCGTACGTTTTAGGGAATTGCTCGTGACAGGAGACGTACATACAATTTTTGGTCGAACAGAAATAAAACTTTCTAGCAGACATGGCTTTAAACATCTCTTTAAGGAGTTGCTTTTTAAAAATGACTCTTAAATAACTTTATAATAATTGAACAAGATGAAAGACATGTGCAGCTAGAGGTCTCGCTTGCCTTGAACAACCTTGAACGACCTTGAGCGACCTTCGCTCTCATCTCAAATCTACAGTGGATCAACTAACCCCCACTTTCGAGATTATAGACAAATGAAATGAATTATTTCTTTACCTTAAAATTGGACCTGATTGCATTCATACTTTTTGTAGTTTCGCTTCAACATCAACAAAAGACCCTCAACGTTTACCTCGTCCAAACCTGTAGAGGAGATGCTACATTCGATTCAGTTCTCACCCTCTGATTGGCTTAGCGCACGCCATGACCATGTGTTTCAGACAGGCCGATCGGCGTGAAGGTCAACGACCGCGTGGCCGTCGCACAGAGGGGAGGGGAGGCGAGTGGCCAAAAAGTAACTTGTCCGCTAACCTGAGATCAGGCGTTATTTTTCATTTTTTGCTTCTTTGCTTCTTTGGCTCGAGAGGGAAAAAAATAACGCCTGATACATTTATTTAACAAGCCGTCAACCGTCCGCGGGAGGCTAAGTCACTCAAGTAACCTAAGAACGTGTCTCGAGCACGCAAAGTCAGACTCAAGTGACCCTAATTTTTGGACCTTGAGAGTGGGCGTTTATTCGAGGTGGGCACTTATTCGAGGCTGGGCGCTTATTAAATTTTCACCATTTTCCGCAAGCGAAAATTAATGTTTATTTTGCAACCAAACAATAAATGCTGATATAACAAAACGCGAACACTAACAAAGCAAGGTTTCTGTAAAATACTCTGAAGAAAACTCCGTCCTCGGGGGGGAAGTCTAGCCTGCGTAGCAAGTGTTTCCGTGCGGTTTAGGAGCAAAGAACAAGGAACGAGAGTCAAAGACCGCGCAAAAAATTGGCGTAAGTAAAAGAGCGGTTCATTTCTCGCGCGGCCAAAACCGAGAATCCCGTCCGTTCCTCGGTCTCCGAAAGCAAACGGAAACGCTTGCTACGCAGGCTAGGGGAAGTCTCTTATTAGAATTTATTCATTTATACTGGACTTTGAACCAAAATAAGTGTTTATATCAAGCTACATTGTATAAAAGTCCGTGCGAATAAATCAGCGTATTTAATATTTGTCTGAAACCTGCCCACGACAAAGTTAAGAGCACGCGAGCGTTGGAGATCAAATTATTTTCAATCTTTACCACCAATGGAAAACAAACCTTGTCACTTTCGAGAAAAACTCTTAATAACAAATGCAATTTATCAATTAAATAAATACAACAAAGCCTGGCTGAATAAAAATTTAGCTAAAACTCCGACGAGTTTCAGAAATTGCTTGAAATATTCTGAGAATCGAAATATACAAAGTGACTTTCCTTATAACTGTAAATTTATTGCAAATTTTGGATTTATATATACACCCGGCTTTCTATACGAAACAGGATTTCTCCCGGGCTTAAAGTTTCCCACTTCACACATTATTTGTGTAGTGAGTGTTCGTTTGTTCTCTTTCTGAATTGATTGACAGCGAACGAAAGAGCCTTGATTTCGAAGGCCGTTCTTGAAATCGAGGCAAATGCTGTGATATACAGACATACATACATACATATACTTGTATTCTGGGTCAGGGGAATGTATTTCGTAGAGCGCTCAATTCATTTAATTGAAGATCATTTACATACAGCTTGCTTCGGGCACAGGCAACCCAGGCTGGTCACGTCCAAAAATCTAGAATTAACATATTTGAGGTACCTACTATACCCTTGCTAAGTAGGTAGTAGATAAGGGGCACGTGGCCATGTGCGATGAGAGGTACAACCCTGGCCAAAACTCTTGGGACATTAACCAAACAGCTGGTGAAAATGACGCATTTTCTCTCCCCCCGTCCCCCCCGGTACAGTGTTGACGTTACGGCTTCAAATCTTTTTCAACACAATCAACATTGCTGAGGGGAAGGGGGGACAGCAGAAACAGGCTCTTTCAACAACATTTCCAAGCATTTATAACAGGTTAAATACACTTTTAATAAGCAAGGTGTGTTTTCGCGCCTCATTTTCTTAAGTGTCCCAAGACGTTTTGACCAGGGTTGTAGCTTTATGGGAGCTGTTCGACTATTTATATATATATATATATATATATTTGAGCCAAAATGGTCTGGCCGTTATTAAGCACATTTGCCGGGCCGGGTTGAAGCAGGAGCCCATTCTCTTTAATTCCCATCTCGTAACCGACCCAGACTTTATAGCTCATTTTTTGAACATTTGTACATTGTTGCCGAGACTTAAGTGCCTGCGATGACCCTATTGAAGTGAAAAATTGACATTCAAACTGCAGAGGACCGCAAGCGGCCTTCAGGAACAACTTTCAACAACTGGGCGGTACCGTGCACAGGGTGGTCTGCTACAGAGCCGTTTGTAGTGTCGTCACGAAACGCTCCCCCCCCCCTCCCCACTAGTTAGTGGGAAGGAGCTTTGCGTGACGACACTAAAACCGGCTGTGTAGCAGACTGTGCAATGGGCCGTAGTTGTTCGAAAGTCCGATTAGCGCTCTCCCGGGGTTAAATTTTAACCCGGGTTTCTTTTCTTTCGTTCAAAAGCATTTTCTCGGATATTTTTCTCTTTTCTCAGTTAGAGCATCCAATCATAGAGTTGAAAACAAAAAGGATTAAACTTAATTTGCTGTTTTTGAACAACCCAATCCGGTCCTGTGTATTGAGCATATTTATATCCCCTCAAATGGCTCTCGTTTTCATGGCTTTTAAGGTCTATTTAGACTTTCGCTTTTATTCTTCTTCTTCCTCTTTACCGAAAGAACCCAAAACAGAGCGGGGTCGTAGTACCTTTTTTTCCGGAAACACTGTACTCGAACGATAGCACTAAAGATTGGTAAGATAACCAACTAACTGCTGAATTTTCCTTCGTATTTATTTTAATACTGAAATGCGAAAAACGCGAGAAATGGCATCTCCGAGACCTTAATTTCAAAAATTTTCTGGGGGAGCATGCGGCCATACCCCCTAATAACTTTTTCCCGTGTGTACACCTTGAAAATCCCAAGCTACGCCCCTGAAATCCGAGGGAAATTGAACTTAGTTCGAGTTAGAGTAGACTGTTCACAGTCCCCTATTTTTTCGTGAGATCGTTTAGATATGCCACGTCTTACCGTCACGGCTATGTACCGAGGGGGCGGGCGTCACCGCCCCCGCTCCTAAAAAAGTTTTGACACTCATGCAAGATGGCAGCCCGCCCGTCACGGCCCCGGGGTCACGGCGCAAAGCTCTCGTTCTCGATGATCTTACGGAAAAATAGAGGACTGTGAACAGTCTAGATTTAGAAGGAGTTTGAGTTTTCCGAGTTGAAGTTATCTGGACTCTACTGTATAAAGCCAAGTAAGCACGCAAATTAACTAAAGTAATCCAAGTAACGAAAGTCAGCTAAGTGTCTCAATCACGCAAGGTATAGCGTGTACTAGTTGTCTGAAAATCAGCCAGACAGACCCAACAGTTAGTCCAGTCCTATTACAGAAAACAAAAAGAAACGGTTCGTTGAATAAACGCCACACCCAGGGGGGGAACCCGCATATGAAGGGGTGGGGATGCTCGTCGGAAATTTTGAATTAAACCCCTAAAAGAGACCGATCTGGGAGTAGTCCAAGCTTTTTTTGACCCCTAAAAGAGACCATGTTAAAACACAGACAATACAGATATTTTTGTATTTTTTCACGTGCAACCCTAAACGAGACCTTCACGGCTAAGTATGATGGCGTTTTACCCAGAACACCCTAAGTGAGACCAGCCTCGAATAAGCGCCCACCTTGAAGGTAGGAAAAGTTAATAAGCGACCAGCCTCGAATAAGCACCGACCACGGGCCCCTCCCCTTAAAAGTTTGCCTTACTAAGTACTAACAGTGGTTTGAGATCGACAAAGTATTTCTTAGAGCAATCTTCCCTAAAGACCCAGTTTTCTCAGTATTTTACATGTAAAGTCTGAACGTTCAATGAAAAGCAGGAGCCTCCATCTCCATTAATTTCTTGAGTCAACCCTTTCCCGAGTAGATTTATAAATAGAACGGCTAGTTTCCCGCGAAAAGTGTCATATTTCGGTGAGTCTCGTGTGTCACCGTAAAAAAATAAAATTGGATGAAGTCGAACTCAGAAGCCCGTCCTTCGACCGTTTTCCTTTTCTTCGTTTTCGTCCATTTTTGTAATTTTACAGCCGCTGGGATCTGGGTATCATGAAATAAAAGTTAACGAATTACCCGACTGAGACTGAGCATGAAGCGATGGGACAAAGGCAGTGAACTGAGGATCACGGAAAGGTTATCTTTGCGAGTGTTTATATTGCTGTCATACATCCCACATTTAAGCATGCACCTTGAAAAGAGTCGACAATTAAGCGTTCTGTGGACGATTTGGAACTTTTCGATGATCAGCGCCGAAAAAGTGCCGGGATCATTTGATTTTTGTCATCACCGTGGAGTGGATTTCGCCAGTTAAGAACCGCGTGCAAAAGCGATGACCTAAGTAGCAACTAACGAGGAATGCTTCAGTTCCGAAATTTGAGAAATTGCAGTCTTCCGTTACAACTGACTTGTATCACCATGAGAGTTGCCTGATAAAACTGGCACTTGAAAAGTTGAACAGAAGCAGGGGCGGATCTAGGGGGACGGTGCAGGGGGTGCGCACCCCCCCCCCCCTAGATGACCTGCGTTTTTCTAATACAACTGGTATTCTGCAAAAAAAAAAAACTACATGGTTTATTTGTGTTGAAGTAGAGCAAGAGACGAGTGCACCCCCTCCTAAAAAAAATCCTGGATCCGCCCCAGAGAAGACAACAGTTGCTCGACCTTGAAGCTAACTCAAAAGTAATTTGCTAACGGAGGAATTTGTGACATCGCGCTACAGTCCAAAGACCCACTTATCTCAAGAAAAACAAAATGGATTGTATCTGCGCCAAAAGAATTATGACTGACTAACGGGACAATTCTCAGCAGTTAATGTAGAAGTTTAGGCTCAATTCCTTCCTTCGAATTCGCATCTGTAGATCACTTTTTTGCGAGAAGACAATGGCTAGACCCGGCGTTACAAAACATAGCAGGGAATCATCACACTAGCTGACGGACAAAACAACCACAAGGACTACAAGTATTTATTTAGATAAAGGCATTTCGGAAAAAAAAACCTTGAAAAACTAGAAATTTGATTAATACTGAGTCATTTAGCCGAAATAAGAACTTCAACGTTCAAAAAAATTGGCTAAAGAAAATGAAATCCTGTCAGAACAGCAGACTGCAGGTAGTAGTTAATCATTATGCATGCAACAGACCAGCTTCATGGCCTCTTAATGTGAGACAAGCAACCATAATCTACCCGCTAGAAAGAAAAAATAAAGAAAATCTCTGAGGGATGAAAACGCTAAAGTCACGTTTCACTAGCTTATGATTGTCCTGTCAACAACGAATTTCCTGCTGTTTGATGAAGTACAATAGCAGTGTCATTTCGTCGTTGTGATTGGCTCTTCCCACCGTCGGCGCGCGAAGTCTCCCCTGGGAACCGTTCTAATTATAAATCTAGTCGGGAAAGGGTTGACTCCAAGCTAGGGCTTGTATGGGAGATGGAGGCTCCATTTGATGGGCTCCTGTGAAAAGTTAAAATTATACTTTGGTACATCTTCACGTTTTATTATTATTTATTGCTTTTTTAAAAAAATAAACTAACTACTTGCTGAAACCGGCGAAAAATTAAATAAGCGCCCAGCCTGGAATAAGCGCCCACCTACAATCTTGGACAGAATAAAATGCCAGCAATTAACCCCCATCACCCCCAAATCATGATCAAGGATGAAACCGCGCAAAAGCCAAACCGTGCCATTTTCCCATCCTTGATTTGGGGGGAAGGGGGGAAAAATTTTCCATCTATTTTGTCCAAGATTGTAGGTCCAAAAATCTAATAAGCGCCCACGGTATGTTAATATTTTCCAAGAATAGGTGTATTTGGTCATTTTTAGCCTGCCCACTAATATTTCCCATGATGCCATCCGCAACCGCACCCCTTGAGGATAGCGGTGATGACGTCAGGCAGAGAGCACATGGTACAATCCAAAGACAGTAAGGGCTTGTAACTCGGAGGAGTAACTAGTGACTATTATGCCAAGTGCTTCATCGCAATCTTCCATGCAGATCTCAGCGCAGATGGAGAACAACGACGCTACCAAAGCTGTCCTGAATGTCTTGGAAAAGAAAGTCCGTAATCTTGAAAAACGGAAGGTGAGTTAACGCACATTTGAGGCGAGCGATCGAACACGATCCACCGACGGTTCGACCACGCCATGATGGTTGAGTTTTTGACATGTGTTTCTCGCCGCTGAGACATTGTTTCTGTTCGCAGGGAAAGCTTGATTCGTACAAGAAGCTGGTGGACGAGGGGCAAACACTAAATGACGATCAGAAGGTGCGTTTTGAAATGGCTAATTTTTTGCGCAACTTTTTAAACGTGGCGGAAAATGAGTAGGTTTAGTAAAAGCGAAGAGTTTCTTCTTTCAAACGCATTTGTCCGGTTCTTTAACAGACGTATCACCCTACCTGTTTTTCCCAGTGTCATTTATACAGTTAAACTTAATCTGTTTCATAGAAGTGCTATTTATTATTAGATACCGTTTGTTGAAGACGAGATTCGTTCTTGAATATGATGTTGTATCGTGTGACGTGAAATCACCTTCTCTTTACGCAATTTCGTGATCGTTTAAATTCACTATTTAACTTAAAATGTTCTTCTTGGTTAGGAAAATTTCTTATATTTAGTAGACAGCTGTCAGGGTTGTCATGCTTCATTGAAATTAATAGATAATTGTGCAGTACAAATGTAGTCTACGAACGTTTATTTTTTGATTGGGGCCCAGGCCTTTAAATAATTTCCTGGAAACCGGTTATTCTGTCAACAAAACAAAACAATACAAAGTACTACAAAATTCAGAAAAACATAGAATTTAAAGTGTTATGAGAATATTTAATTTTTATTGTGAAAAATATGAAGCAAAACAAGTACAATGTTAACTGTGCCATAGCAGTGATCTTTTGGAAATTATATGACCTGTTTGGTCTCTTACCATAGCATAATAAGTTGAAAATAACTGAGCTTAACATCGCAAATATTGATTGGTTCCATTTCAACTTCAAATTGCGATCCTTAATTCAACTGATTATGTCAGGATGGTAGGCGACAAAAACTGTTACAATGAAAGTTATGTATTTACATTCGGCCGAGCTAAAAAATGCAGTGACAGTGACACAGAATGGAAGTACTTTCCTACTGGTATGAATGCACGTGAGCCATTATGGTGTTAATTGACTCTATTGTGGTTAGGTGGATAAGGTTTTGACAGTTGTAATGCAGTCATCTCAGTTCTCAAACTTTCAACTTTTTACTTTATTTTGTTTTATCTTATTTTATTTATTTACTGATTGTTTTTTACCTTTAACCCCCAGTGGTTGTGCGACTGCATCAGTTGGGGGATATGTTCCCATTTTTTAAATTCCCATTGGGTTTGTGGGTTTTTGTATCAGGCAGCGCACATGACCAGTTAAGCCTGAGTGATTTTATTTTGGATTATTTGTATATTGTTCTCTTAAATGTGACATTAAACTTTCTATGGTATTTGGACAACAGTAAGCACTCAGGCTCACAGTTTGAGGTGCACACCCATTCCCATGTCTCAGTCGTGAATATAAATAGGAACACTTGAAATTTCCAGTTTCCCCTACTGGAATTAATGCTATGTACCCTTTGTTTTAATGCATCTATCATAGGGGCACTTTTTTTGGGGGGGGGGACGTGCATGCCCTAATTCAAATTTCAAAGCCTACCATTTTATGCATTGAGGGGGAAGCCATATTCCCAGTCAGTATTCTGTTATTGTATTTGAACATATCAATGTGGCAATTTCAATCCATCTTTGTGTCATTTGTCACCATATATCTCTAATACTGCTTTTTTCAAGGCTATTTCACCTGTTGGAATTTTACCCTGTGAACAGGGACTCATCATAGTCTTTCACCTATGATTTTCTTTGTGTGAAAATTAATAGTTTGTGAGTCACTCGTATAGAAGTGATAAAAAATTGCCACTCAAGACAGAGATGGATTTTCAGTAAACAGCTGTTGGAAGGCTTAAGTTAAGGAAAAAAGAATGTTGCCTTGAATATAAGCCTACTTTCTGGCATCAGTGGATTCGTATACAAAGTAAACCTCACTATTACAGGCACTTCACACTTCATTTTGAACTGTGTGCTGGCTTTTATTACCACAATAATATTGAGTCTATGCAGAGTACCATCTTTGAGTCAGTTATTTATAAATGAGTGACCTTTTAGTGTTTCCATGGATACAATTCACAGGCTTTGTGGACGTTAGAGGTGTTAAGTTGGACAATGTGGATGTCCTTTTTTTTAGCATTATTCTTACAACATGACCTACCTGCTTAATGCTGATACCCCGTTAATACAGACAGTTCTCTGATCCCCTTACGTACTATGGGTTTGACTGTACAAAGATCTTGCATGGAGAACTTAATTTTCCCTTGCCTTTGTTTGTTGTAGCTTGCAGTTGGCCAACTGACACAAGTAGAACAGAACCTTGAGTTTGCTAGAGATCTACAAAAGAACATTACTCAGATCTACAGTGAAGTAAGTGATAACAGGGTTCTTAATTTAATAAGTTGTTATAAATCAATCAGTGTTTCCACGATACATCACTTAATTATCAGGACATTGGTTGAGTTCCCTTTGTTGATTTTCCTGATTTGTCCCCAGTCATCTTGCAGGATTTGGGATGTCTATGATTTCCACTTTTTTTATTAGTCAGCAAAATCTGGGACTGTAAGGAAACAGTAAAATCCCATCTGGGATTTTCCGACACATGAGTACCAGGTTTAAAGAGAAAATACTTGTTTCAAAATGAAACCAACCGCAAAAGACTTCATATGGAAATAAGTGTCATCTGTACACCAAAAAGACTTCACACTTGACGCTCAGGACAAGATGTAAAATAATGGCCTGTTGTGCTTCCTTGTCCAAGACTGATGCAGTGCTGAAAACAAGATAGAGAAGTGCAAAGATTAACATAATCTTATTTATTGCCTTCTTCATCTGCAGCATCAAAAGCTTCAAAAGAAGAATGCTAAGCGAGATCAGGCTGCACAGCTCGCAGCACAGCGTGAAGGAGATATCTCTAAGGTGTGTCAGGTACTGGAACTGCAGGCGTTGATGGACAACTTGTCAGAGGATGTGCGGGCAGACTTTTTAAATGGTAGCAATGGTGCTGTGGTAAGTTTTTTATAGTAACTTGGTTAAAACAGTACCTCTTAAAAGTATGTTGACAATCTTGACCTTGAGACTTGAAACTCAATTCTTGCGTCTCGAAACTGGAAAGAAATGTTCATGTTTCAAGACGTGAGAATTGAGTTTTGAGAAACTTGCATTCTGAATATTTATCACTTGAAACGGTTTAGAGAAATGATTTATTTCTTGAGAAAAATAACAATAGCCATTCCCACATAGAGCAACAATTCTCATCTACTGTCAGCTCTTTGACATGTACATGTCGTGCGTAAGTTTTTTAGGTTACAAAAAAAAGGACCAGTGGCAGGTTTTTTAAACTTGAATTTCGAATAGTCAAGTCGCTGTATTTTTATATGAATTCTATCTTAAGAATTATGAGAGCTGTTTGATTGTTAGCGCATATTTTGTAACAGTATGTAAGCTCAATTGCGTTTGTCACGACAGCTTAGATAAAATGCCCCCTTGCAGCTAGCCATTCGCTTGGCACAAAACCGCCATGCTGGAGAGCAAAAGTTGCACTGGGACAAGACAAACAACAGACGTATATAATTTTACATGGTCATTTCCATTGTTTGTCTTGCCCTAGTGTGACTTTTGCTATCCAGCAACACAAATGGCCAGCTGCAAAGGGCCCATTAAGCCTACTGAGAAATATGATCTTGAAGTTTATGATAGCTGCTGTGAATCTTTTTAGAAAACTGCCATTTATTTTTGCAAGCCGTTCAAAAAAAACTACAAAACGTGTAGCAAAATTAGAAAGGTAAAGTTAAAGCTGTAAAAAGGATGTAAGAAATCTCCAACTGTACCTATTTGCAGTGAGATAGAAAATGCTAACATGTGAGGAAAATTTGCATAATGTCACCTGTAATTTGAAACCTCTTGCTTAAGCACGCAAGTTGCAACTTTTAAATTCATACAACAGCGATGAAATATTTCAAAAAACAAAAGTCACAATTACTGAAGGCTTCTCAAGCCCTAGCATTTCACAGTAACAATCCTTTCCGGTACGGTGTTGTTACCGTGATCTTAAAATAAAGGAACCAATAGTTTCACAGTGACATATTCTAATGTATTATAGTTTTTTTTCCACTTGGATTCTTAACTAGTAGAGCAATTCTTAATTATTCACCATCTTGAGTTGTTCCCAAAAGGCATTGCACGTTACTGATGACTCGCACATGAAAGATGTTTTGCAGTTAAAAACGAGAAAAAAAATATGACTCCAAAAGTTTAAAAACATATAGGTGGTCTTCTAGTGACAATTTCACTGTTGAAACTGATGCTGGGGCCCAGAACTCTTTATATAAAAAGACAATACAGTGCTCCATGTTCAACTTTTTCCAAAGGTGCCTTTTGGTAACCTGAAATTAAAAGGTGGTTGCCAGACGTAAAATAACACTACATGAATATTTGAAAGAATCAAAATGGCTGCCCAACCATCGCAATCGAATTTCAGGTACACGTGACATCTCGAGGCTTAATATCCAGAGAACCAGCCTGGGCAAAATCTAGGCAAATTATAAAGAGAGCAGAGCATAAATGATATTTAATACAAATGTCTATCCTTATCTTTAAAACACTAACTACTAGAAAAACTAGAATAGCTTGCCACATGATAGCTGAACTCAGGTCGCCAAATTGGCGACTTTCACTCCAATTTTAGTCGCCAAAATTTTTTTCTACTCGCCATGGAGACCAAAATGGTTGCAGCTTGGAGCACTGCAATAGATCTGTAGCAAACATTTCAAGTGAGTATACTTCTTTAGTTGGATGGAAGAGGAGTCTGGAGTTTTTGACACTTTAATGCTCACCCATTTAACACTTAACTTGACCTTCTTCTGACATTTTAATAGACATTGACGTTTTTGTAAATAATAGTACACACTGATGTTCTTTAATTTAAAACTATGTTTAACAACATGTTTTTGTACATTAAAAGAAATAAAAGTGGGTACCCTTGAATTTTAATGGAACCAAAAAAATTGTTACTGATGCTTGATGATGATCTCTGGGTAAGGAACCAAAAAATTGGTAATCCATGGGATTTGAAATCCTAGGGCTTGCTTCTCCAAGGGTATTTCATTTGTGGTCAGTTGCAGACAGGAAACTTGGAACTGCTCTGCAGCGGAATTTGCAATAATAATTATAAGGCTTATTTGTTTACTTTTTGTTGATTGGCGGTAATTTTAAGCTAGGTGCTGATGGTAAAAAGGTTACGTTTTCATTTCAAAAGTGCAGAACAAGTGGGGAATTTTGTCAGCCGTTCAACCAGCCCTTTGCGCACGGATACTTTTCGAAAGCACAAACTTTGTTTTACGGAATTAGCGAGGATGGCAAAAGCCATTTGTGACAATCCACAGTAACAGATGCGGTCTGTTTGATGAATTTGTTGTTTCAAAGATCAGTCAAGTGACAAGCCCATTGTACAGTACTTCTCGAGTGTCCAGGATCGAGACGCGAGTGACTGTCAACTTACTTTTGAGCAGTACTGTAGTTATCCAAAGCTCAGCCAACCTCTGAACTGCCCTGTTGAGAACCAACAATAGCCCAATTTTAATGATGGCATCTGTTTAGTACAATGACCAGAAGCCATTTTGTTTTTCTTTTATATTTAAATTTGGTAATCCCAGTGAGGTTTTAATGACAAAAACCGCAAAAACCCTAACCCTAGAAAGAAAACTCTGAAGGATTCTGGTAGTACTAGTAAATTGATGCCATCGTGCAAATGGCCTATTTGAATGTCAGAATATTTTAAAGCAATTTTGATAATCTCGTTAATGGTTATTAAGGACAAATTCTAAGCATTTACTGATGACGTGTAAAAATGTTGCAATGAATTTTTCTTGTCCTTACTGTAGATTCACATGAGTGTGTTATGTTCCTTCGAACCCATCTTGAATTTTCTTGCATTGCATCTGTCCACATCCCACATGCTGCTAATTTGTATTTCATCCAGTGTAACTACCGCCACCTTACCTGATTAAGTTTACAAATTAGGTGGGATCGCACTAGGTCCCTAAGTGCACTTGATTTCTGGTGTACTTGAAAAGCACTTAAAGACGTGCACTGTAGTGCTCTCTGTTTCTTTCATGAGTCATGAGGTTGACTCATCTTGTAAATTATGACTGCTTGTTACTGCAGGTGGACATGAAAAACTGGCTTGAATGGGTTGAAAAACGGAATTCATTCAATGAATGACAGAACAGGGAGATCACTTGTTGTGGAACATAGGTCATTTGTTTCCACAGCGAAGTCTTAACATTTACATTAAAGTTGTGTCTGCAGCAGAGAAAGTCGTGTCCGACAGCCCGGGGCTAGTGGATTTTGCGATTGGGCTAGTGAAATCTGTGCTTAACTCGCCCGACGGGCAAGTGAAGATTTTTCGGAGAAGTAAAATTACAGAAGTACTGTAAAACTAAAAATGTGTTAAATTCCTGAGGACCGAAAGTCACTCCAACAAAGTGAAATCTGCATAAACAAGACGAAGTATCGCATTACATGTCAGACATGACATATTGAGATCCCGCGCGTAAAGGAAAACCAGATATTGAAAAAACTTTGAACGTAAATGTTGCCTGTGAATTCTTACTGATTCAGAGAACGCTGTTTGTCTAAATTTTGCTTCATAATCATTTGTAAGGAACCTAAAAGGTTTTGATCCTGAAGTCCTCTGAGGAATTTATTATGGTTTTAGCAAATATTGGTCACGTGCGTTTCAGTATGGTAAATTCTAAACACTGATACTGTGGGTGTTTGTTGCTGATTAAAACATATAGCCCACCTCGTATTGTTTTCACTTTTCACGAAAATCTTTTAGATGAAAAGTTGCCAGAAATAAAACGAACATTTTTGTTCTTTTGAAACCTTAAACCTTTGGTTAGTTGTTACAAGATGAATTACAAATTTGCGTTATTTTTGTTCCCATGATATTTGCTCACTGATGCGTGACTTGGCACTTGCATTTTCCACTTTCCCGTGAACTTGAAACTTGACGCAGAAAACCGACTCCCAAACAAACCTTCTTCAGAAAAATAATCTTCTGAATGCACTACTTTAGAATGAGAAGCAAACTGATGAAAGCTATCAGATTTTTATGCCTTTAATAATATAAACATCTCCCCTGTCAGCGGCTAAGAAATACTCCCATGGGAAATTGCGCGGCAAATTGCAGAATGAAGTGCTTTCACTGGCAGCTTTTCGTTTTGTCTACGTTGTCGTTTAGTGTGTTCATTGAGAACTTTGGTTTCACGGTTTCAACGCCGTTTTTTTCTTAAAAAATGTTTTTCTAAATTGTAAAATGTCTAAAATGCATGTTAATCATTCACGTGTTGTGGTGGACTTAGAAAAAATTCTACAGTGTGGCAGCACCGGGAGCAAAACAGCAAAACTAGATCAAACTAGTTGAAGACATTGGGAGTGAATATTGCGTTGAACTCAAAGGGTTACAGAAGATTGAGTATTTGGACATTTTCACAAGAGGTTAACCAATAATATGTAGTTTTTAGCATTGTGTTATTTGTTATTTGGACCTTCATTCCGTTAGCTTCACTTAAATTCCTTATTTCATCATTCAAGACAAAGGCATTTATAATCAAAAGGTTAACACCGAATTATTGTAATAGTGTGTCAAGAGTATCTTACCAGGTCTACTTATAGTGCACACTTTTACGGTTATTTATTGCTTTTGTTAAATAACTACAGCTGATTGTAATGAAGAAATGAAGCCAGTAATTTATTAACTTTCAGTGTAATTAAGAAAGGAATAATTAATTAACATTTTTTCTTTCTGCTCTCGAAAAAAATTTTCGGGCTAGTAAAAATGACTTTCGGGCTAGTAGATGTTAGGGCAAGCTGTAAAATTGACTTTCTTTGCACCCTGGTCTGTCAAATAAAAAGGGAATCATTAAATTTCCTAAACAGCTCTTGAATCAGAACTGAGAAAACCTACCTATATTTTGTGGAGATTAGTATCCTCATTCATCATTTCTTGCTTGGTCACTTTGAGAGAGTGAAAGTTGCGGCTCAAGATCATCAGATTGACTCTGATAATAAGCTTCCATTGCTTTGATTCGATAAGTGTAATCTCAATTTTACTGGAGAGTGTACTTCAGCCCTTAGAGGTTTTGAAGTTTCTGTGGCAACTAGGTACGACTAGTCAAGGCAAACAGGACGCATTCACACACAAGTTAGTCTTAAGTGCACTTCAAAACCCACCAATTACAGCAAAGTGATAGTAATATCTAACAGATATTTTGGCATATTCTTCATTTTGATCACTGCTGTTTTTGTATAATATTTGCAAGCACAAAAATTTTGATTATTCATTACGTGTATCACAGTAAACTGTTAATTCATTGTAAGTTTCTTTCTTACCCTGGCAGTCATTTTTGCTCAGACATGGCAAACAAAAACATGTATTAGTTTTATCAGATGTTATTATTAATGATCCATCAGTGGGAACAGCTGATTTTATCCTGATGACGTACTAAGAAATCTTGACTGATTACTGACCTCTTTTTGTTTTTGTGTCTCTTCGTTTGAGACTTTTGGTTAAGAGGTTTACTATTTCCATGCAATAAAAAAAGTACATGTGCATTTCTTTTTTGTAGGTCGTGTCTGAGGAAAGTTTTGTCCAGATTGACGGGTTTTACAAACTGATCACCCCAAATGCAGAGGAAGAGAAGCCAATTAAGGAACAGCAGTTATTAGCCAGCCAACATATTGTAAAGTTTTTGGAGGCCAGCCCTGAACCTGTTGTAGAAACAACCTGTATCTTTTTGTATGTCGAGTAACGTTCAAAATTAGTTGAGATCTGTAAAGGGTACAGGTAAAGCAGGTGTCCTTCAAATTTTTCATGATGATCTCTTTTGAGGGATGATCTTTGCCAGGATTTATTTAACAAGAATGCTCTTACAGCAGCATTCAGTCTCCCTTGCTTTGAGATTAGAGCAAAAAATGAGGAGGCGATTAATTCTATGCCAAACAGGATTTACTCACTAAAAGTTTTTTACTTCCTACTTTATCGACGTTGACACTTTTTATTTGTTTATGAATTGATCTAGTACGCATGTTAGTGACCAACGGAAATACGTCTGTGGTGGCAGGCTATACTTGTGTATAAATACATGAAAATTCAAGGGCCTCGATTCCAGAGAAATTACATCATTGCCAGAGTTCAAAAAGTGATTTACGGGGCACGTCATTTCAGTTTTCTTGGCAAAAATAAACCGTGTGCTCATTACAAGAGCCGTTTACATAGAATGAAAGTTTACAACACTCAACCATTGCAGGTTAGCTAGTTAAGATTCTTATTTTTTTCAACCACTCAGTAGTGTTCACTTGTTCCAAAGCAATCAACGCTTTGAAGCGATAGAATTCGTGGATTGACATGGTTTGGAAAAGCTCTAAATTTAATCGTTTTTAAGCTTTCTTCGCAAAACATGCGTGGCTTCAATCACGCAGCGATTCTTAGTCCCAGTTTCCACGGTCTCAGCAAGGAACGCCTGGCACAATGATCCCCCTTTTGTGTCTTAAATACGACAAAAAACGCGTTGCAGATTACGAGTCTCACTGCTTACTCAAGCGAGACTAATAATGGGCGTTGCCATCTTTTCCTTGGGTCATAGAATTAAGACTGATAATGGCAATCCTACTGTCATACATCCCAGCCGTCCTATTTTTCCTATTTATTTTATAGGATCCTATAAAACTCCTATAATAGGCCAAAAACTCCTATATTTCCTATAAATACTGCTTAAGTTATAAGTAAGAAAATAAAGCGAGCGTGTCCAACAGGTCAGATTGAGTTTGAATTGAGTCTACTCTACCACAGGCTGTGTTATGCTGTCACCTGTGGTTTGATATTATTCTTGGACTGGATTGAATGAGACTGGGAGCAGTGTTACAAGGTAAGACCACTTCTGGAGAAAGATTGATAACCTGAAGGAAGTCATGGGTGAAAAGAAATTCCCATCAATCATGAAGGTTGTGAAGACAGCCCTTATTCTTGGACATGGTAATGCTGAGGTTGAAAGGGGATTTCCAGAGAGTAGAAAAAGTGTATCAGATGACAGAGTTCGTCTAAGTGACGCGTCAATCAATGGCATCCGTGCAACAACTGATGGGCTGTAGGCTTTTAAAGGTCCTGGTTCTGTGCCAATCACAAAGCAACTCCTTCAGCTGGGTCGTTCCGCTCATGCTCATTACGTTTTGCGTCTAGATAAGGACAAGAAGGAGAAGGAAGAGGCCCAAAAGCAACTTACTCTTCAGAAAGAACAAGCAGCACAATTGGAAGCACAGAAACCACAACTTGCCAAAGAAAAGAAAGACCTAAACAGCAAAGAGAAAGAGTTAGAAAGGCAAGAAACAGCTCAGCAAGAGTGCATGAAAGTTGGGGATACAATCTTGAAGGAGGCAAATGCAAAGTTGTGAGCTGCCGTGAGGAATAAAGATTTTAAAGAAGTGTCAGTTGCTCAAGCCATGATTGAAGCTGCAGAAAAGAAGATCAGTAGTGCTAACAAAGCGATGCAGCAGACAAGGGAGCAACAGCAGTCTGTTTCAAAACGAAAGCAGACCATCATAAACACCTTTCTGTCACAGCAAGTCAAGCCAAAATTCAAGAAAACGTAAATGATAAGTTCAAGACTTGAAAATGATTAACAGACTTATTGTACACTGTTGTAGTTTTGTTTGTACGCGAAGTTAATAAGATGTAAATGGAATGTGCTCCTACATCTGTATTCAGTTTTCATGAGAATTTACATTTTTGAAGACGTCAGGTTCGAGGGCATCTTCATTTGATAAGAAACTGCTAAAACAATCTTATTGCTGTTGTTAAAAACTTATTTTTGCTGGGAGTTGAACAGAAAAATGGATGCATCAAGCGAAGGTTTATAGAACTTATATTTAAGTGTTTTCTTACTCATTACAAATAAGTTGCTCATTGGATACATGACTATTGTGTATCTAACTAATATTTTAAACTTATTGTGAGTGTTTCAGTTTTGAAAGTTTTAAGTGATCACTGTGACCATTGGAAAAAGCTGTTCATATTTGTAAACCGTCTAGTTAATGAGTGAATTGCAAAAACATGTATATGCACAAAGTACAGTTGGAAATAAAGTGAGACATTTTCAATATCGTGGCATCTGTGTGTACCTGAAAATCATCCTATAAAACTCCTATATTTGGGATTTAAATCCTATAAACCTCCTATTTTTTTGCTCCTGTGATCCTATTTTTCCTATAATTTTTTTGGAAAATGGCTGGGATGTATGTACTGTGTTATCTGATGTGGAAGCTTTTGGACTCTGGTTAAAACCTCTTGCAGTGAGGAATTAGATTGTGACATCTTAGGTGGTCATTTTTTAGCAGGGTTTATACAGGTCATGGAAAACCTGGAAACTCATGGAATTTAAGAACTTCATTTCCAGGCCTGGAAAATCATGGAATTTAATTGTTGGTCCGGGAAAGTCATGGAAATTTAGGTTATGTTTGATAAATTAGATACTGCAGATGTCAAAACAAGGATAGTATAACATAAAGATAGTAATTAGACAGCCTGAACAGCACGCATTTTAGTGGACATGATAGTTTGTGTCTGTTAAACTGTTTAAGGTCAAAAACTATGCTAAAACAAGGAAAGTTGTCAAAAGTGACAGCCTAACAGTAGGTCATGGAAAACTTGAAAAAGTCATTGAAATAGTCATGGAAAGTCATGGAATTTGAAGAGGTCAAAGGAGTACAAATCCTGTTTAGGCCGCATTACTGTACCTGTTTTTCCTTTACTCTGTGAAGACAAGGCACTTAATGAACTGGTTGCATCAATCAACAAGTGTGGATATTTTGAACGATCTCAAGGTGATGAAGAGGAGGAGGAGGAAGAGGAGGAAGAAGCTGCTGAAAATGAGAACACTGAAGCTGATCAAGAAGGAACTGGAGATAATGCCCAACAAACAGAAGTGAGTACTAACCAACAATAAATTTGTCTATAAAAAAACAACACTTATAACAGTGTAGAGTAAAAATATTGTCAAAAATTATTTGACAATAAGTTGGGGAATAGTCTGAGCATTGTGTGAAAAGCATTTTAAAATCCCTTTATGTTTGGCTGAACGTATAATTTTTGAGGCAAAGTTAAACTCCTCAGCTATAGATAGGGTTAGGTCTTAGTATCATGTGTGTGATTGATTGTAGTCTGGAACTCTTGAAATCACTCATTTTGGCATTCGCTACTTGCAATAACTAGAAATCTGCTTGAAATAAGATATCCCAGTGATTGTAGTGTTTGGGAGGACCAAAAAGCACAATACAAGAGATTTGCAACAAAACTTTTGCATATTCTTATTCCAGAATACAATCAATACCCTGTATGTTTCAGAACGAATGGCCTTTTTAAAAATATGCTATTACTTATCTAGATGGCAGAGGCAAATAATGGGCCAACAGAGACTCACTTTAATGGAGAAAACACTGCAGCCCCTGGTGAAAAAGAAGGAGGTAATGTTGCAACCGTTGCTTCCAATGAACATGGCCTGAATTTCTTGAGTGAATCGGAAGTAGAATCTAAAGCAAAGGGTATAGCCGAACCTTCAGCTCCCGCTGCAAATCCGAGTGAAGGAGTCCCCCCTGAAAGTAGTGGATTTGCTGCTCAGGGTGGAGATGAAGGATGGATTGAACAGGGGGGTGAAGGAAATGCTGGTGAACAAGGAGATGACACAAGTAAGTGAACTGTTCTGTTTTAAAATTTCCTTTTAGCCTTCCCTATTATAGTATTAATTTTTCTTTATTATGAATCTTTATGGTGTAATCTATCAATGAATAAAATTGTATGGTGCCTAAATGGATAGGTTGTGGTTCAGTTTTATTCTTGGCTTAAATTTTATATCCCTCTGTTTTAAACTCACTATCATATGCTACCATACCTCAAAACAAAATTTTACCTGAAATCCAGGATGTCCAAAGTTTTGTTCAAAATTAATACTTGGTCATGGCCTTTAATTTTCCCTGGTTACAAAGTGTTTTTCAACAGAGATGACTGTATTAAAAGGGTTGATCCATTCTTTATGGTCTCTTGTAGCTGCTCCAGCTACAACACTAAAATGATCATCAAATAATTTAAGATAGTTTTTGACCAGAGCAGAACTTGAACTCTCGCAAGTCCAGCTCACTGACTATTGCGGTAGCCTGAGGAAGCAGTGGACATTGGTTTCCTCACAAAATGAATTTATCTGAAGAACGAGTGCAGAAATTCCATACTAATGATGTATCACTGCTCAGATTTGGGTAGTGCTTCTGACTGGTCTTGCTGCAGGGGAAATTTGCTTCAACAATTCCAAAGCACTACTAATATCTGGGTAGTGATAATAAAATCATAAATTGTTAGTACAGAATTTCTGCACTTGTCATTTAATGGTGAAACCAGTAGTAAGATCATGAAATATCAGCTGCTTTCTCAAGCTAACTATGCAGCCACAATTACCTCCTTTGATGAACAGTGGTTTGGATATTTCTGAACACAAACAGACTTTTTTTTTTTTGAGGAAGCCATAGGAGCTAGCTGAAGTAGGCAGTAGTTTATGGTTGTCATATGTTGGTCGGTTCAAGCCTGAGTGCAGTTAAGTCTCCGTACTCTGCTAAACCTCCACAAATGGTACCTTTTTAATCCTACAGGTGGCTTTGATGCTGTACATCATTCTAATGGCTTTGGCTTCCCCCGGGGTGGACGCGGAGGCCGGGGTGGCTTCCGTAGAGGAGATGGTTACAATCGCCGTGGTGGCCCACCTGGAGATAGAGGAAATAGGCGAGGAGGCAGAGGGGGCTTTGGTGGACAAAGAGGAGGAAGAGAGGGGGGATTTAAACAGCAACAGGTAAAATTAGTATAGGTAATAGCATGATTTGTAGTGATATTTGGCATAAATACCACAAGTGATGTTTCAAAATTGTTACACGTAATTTCACAGGCTGTTAGGCAAGTGAAATTTGAAACAATTTTGAAATATCATGAGTGGTATTTATGCCAAATGTCACGTACAAATCATGCTATTATTTGTTTATACTACTACCCGCAAAAGGTTTGTAATTTTCACATGTAGGTATTTCAAATTAAGCAGAAATGCCACTGCTCTAAGCCAATCAAATTGCAGAAATTTATCCTGTGGTAGTATAAATATTGGAAAACTTTCACAATAATTTGAAACAAAAAAGACGTTGGTTTTGATACTAAATGACATTTTTTGATAGCCTGTTCCAGGCCTTTTTTTTTTTGTTCATGAATTTTTCTCCTGCACTCTACTTTCTGAACGCCTGGAACAGGCCATGTTTCAACAGCTTAACTGTCATCTTCAGTTTGAAATTGTGAAATACAAAGTATGTCGAATTGCAACGGTGAAAAAAAACTGTAACAACATAATAAAGGAACGTGATAATGTTTGACCATAAAGATAGTTTTAAATGTACTTGGTGTTATTGTTAATAATTGTTATATAGTTTTTTTCTCTTCCGCAATTCAAATTGAAGAGGACAGTATCAGAAATGTTGTTTTTCGTAAAATTATAACTCGTGTGCTACTATCCAGACCCTTTGATAAAGCTTTCTACTCCATTTACTAGCAGACAGTATCCTTTGACGTTATGTTTCCTCACAGGAACCTCTGCAATGTCAAAACTTTCCTCTTATGGAAGCCACAGAGCACCCAAGACAACCACAGGCTACCAAGCAATGTGGTGAATGACAAATTGTTTTTTGTTCCTTTTTTCAGGATAATTACCAAAGACGAGGAAACCGTGGAGGTCCACCCAGAGGTGGCCGTGGGGGTGACAGGGGAGGACAGCGTGGGCGTGGACCCCCTCAGCAGTAGCTTCTCGTTTACAACTAAATTAAAAAGCATAACTTCAGTGAGTTAGGAAGATTTTGATGGAGCTTTTGGCATAAAGTTACAAGAACTGACCTAGTTACAAGCTTGAGGGCTTTTGTTGTAAGCCGTCTGCATGCAGCAAGTGTGAAACTATTTTACCTCCTGTTAATAGTTCAGCAAGTGACCAAGCAAGATCTTGCACTTCATTTCTCCTTCCAGTGCACAGAACTTCAATTACTTCAGAGATCAACGTATTATTCTGTTGACCTTCGGACAAAGATGCATTGCCAAGTGTATTGTGGATGTTATGTCGAGTGATGAGATGTTGTTTGACCGCGCAAGGAAGTTCGCATGGGTGAAAATGACTTGGGAGATGCAGTCTGCAGTCCACAGTCCACAGTCCACGACCCGCCTCACCAGGGCATGGGATAAATTAATTATATTAAAGAGATCCAGGCATCAGCAACTTGCTACTGCAGGGATGGACATTTGTACGCCATTGGTCTCTCTTGCAGCTGTTTTTTTGTTCTTCTTCTTCCTCTTTTTCTTTTTGTTTCCCTGGAACCCACAGTCTCAGTAGCAGCTGCAGGGGAGACAGACATTTCAGTGATAATTGATATTTATATATCACAAAACAGAGACATTGACGCATGCGTTGTAATGTACTAGTCTGTCATAAAATAGAGCAGTTTCTTAACTGGCCAGCGTGAGATTTTCTGTGAACGACTAATTTATTTTGTCATACGGAATCAGATGGAAAATACTTTCTTGTGGTGCCGTTGGTTGTGGTAGTATTTGATCTTGGTCACAGGAGTGTTTGCTGGCTGCTTGTTTGACTGACTCGC